CTTAGTCACCACCAAAGCTGTTTTCTATGCAGATGTCCTAAAACAAGTCTTTGGCAATTAGCACAAAATTACCATCTTAGCAGGAAGTGCATGCAAGTCTTAGCTTAACTACATTAAGCTCGATATCTGCAGCAGCTGGGCACAAGCTCAATGCAGACTGAGGTTCACTAGCCAGGGATGAGCTGAGACAGGTTCTTCTCCCAGTTACACTCATCCAGTGGCAGAGTAACAGGCACCAGGGGCTTTTCTCTGGACTCTCTTGCTGCACTGGAGGAAACTGGATTGGAAACAGAGGCAAAGAACACGCACAAAGTCAATTATAGCTGTTTGGGAGATTACTCCTTTCTCTATAAGGTCACTGGAGCACACATTCTAGATGCAGACAGGTTCGAGTGCACTGCAGCAATAGGAATCACAGGCTTTGGTCTTTATCTGGAAGCGAGATAGAAGGATTTYGGTTGGTTTTATCTGAAAAAAAAACAAACAAAACTCAGTAATATAGCAGCCTTCTCCCACGGAACTCTTGCACTGGAGCAAAGAGAGTGAGACCTCACACTTGACCAGACAGATTTCTATAGAGACATTGCGTGGTAGTGTTTTTAAAAACATTCAGATGGTCAAGATCTATATCATCTTGGCAGTGCAATTCAGCACTGATTTGGCAGCACTTCAGGCAAACATCCAGATTAGAGCCTTGATTTTAAGTTTTTTGTTTTGTTTTTTAATAAAAGTACATTTGAGCAGTGCTTCCCCTGCCCCCCGCCTTCCATCTCTCYCCAAAATCAGAGCTTATCTACTAGCCAACATAAAGTTGGTGCACACGAGGGGAAGAACAACGTTTATGATGGTGCAGGTGAACTCTGCTAGGTCTGAAGCCTAGAAAATGATCTTCGTGCAAATACCTAATGCTTAAATGTCATGAGCATCCTCAGGAAGCCAGCACAGGAAAGAACTAAATTGAAATCTCCAACCTACCCATTTGGCTTAGGAGTTTTTACGGTTTTGTATTAAATCAAACCAAGAGCTTCCCAAACCAAGAGCTGGTTACTGCTGTCACAGCACCAGAGTGAGACTCACTCTCCTTTTTCTGTCCCCTCCTGTTCCCTGCGGGTGACCCTACACCGCACTTGCTCCTAGCGTGTCACAGGAAAAGTCTCATAAATGAGACACTATTTGCTTCTGTTCATCTCATTCAACTAGACAATTTACAGGTTAAACTTGTCACCTTTCTGTTCATGGTTCTAGCCCTCAGGGAAGGGGTCAGATTTCTGAAGAYAAGCGAAGGTGTTTACACAGGAAAGGTTCCAAAAAGCTGAAGCCCGCACGAGAAGAAATATGCTCGTTAAGGCAGCCACCCTCTGGGAAGATGTGTCCCAAATGTGAAATCCTTGCTTGCCGCAAATGCGAGACGCTGCACTCGGAAAGCAGCTTCATTGCCCACAGCCTGCTCGACCACTACGACAGAGGAGACCACGGCAGCTCTGGCACCTGGAGCACGAAAAGCTACCAAGGGCACAGGAGGCATTAGAGACTTTTGGTGGGTGCCTTGTTACCTGACTGCATCTGACCCATCTGCACCCCTGTGTGCAGCACCRGTGACTGTACCCTTACTGCAGCTCTGTTACCATATGTAACAGCTGTATATTCACTAATTTAACTAACATCAACTCTGCCAACCAAAATTCATTATTAAGAGCTAAAAGTTGTCAGCTCCTAAGAGCAGGAATGGTTTTAGAAGGCTCTCTGGAGCTGTTGCTATTTCCTCTAGTGGAACTACATCATCATTCTGTGCAGCAAAAGAGACTCTTAAATGCAGGACCAGGGGATGCATCACACTTGGGTGTGTAGATATATTCTCATGTTGTKTGTGGTCCAGAATATTAAAGTTTTTATTTTTAAACTTATGAGTGTGCAACTTGATTGGGGAAGGTGGGGTATCTAAACGCTGCCCTAGCCACATTTGCAGAACGCTCTCAAATTCTCTTCTGGAATTGCTTAACTTTTAGAGACATTCAGCAACAAGCTCATTACTCAGCAAATCTCCTTGAGAAGCAATAACAATAGCAACTCACCAAAGCCTCCTCCAGGTTTAAGAYCCATATATTGCAAAGCTAACTAAAACAGGATTCTCATTTAAGCACACGAGTAGAAGAACCGCCTTGAGACACCTGCCGTGTCCCCCGTGCACGGAGGGACAGACCCAGCAGCGATGASAGCAGCAAGGCGCTGCCCGACACGCAGCTCTCGGAGGCACTGGGGGAGGCTCAGAGCCCTCTCCCTCACAGCACCGAAGGTGGAGGAAGGCGCTGGAGCAGGTGAGCCCGGGGTCGGGACACGTGTCCCTGCTCCACGAGGGCCCTGGGTGCGAGGTGCCCAACTCCCGCGGTGGGGACGGGGCCGCACGCGYTCCCCGCCCGGCAGCCGCTGCCATTAGGGGGTTTCACCCGGCCTAGGAGACACAGCACACGACRCAAAGTTCGCACCTCAGCTTCGCCACCTCTTCCTCAGTTCCCAGGGACAAGGATCCCTCTCTTGCAGTCTCTCTGTCCCTCCCTTCTCTCCTATTTTGGACTTGCTTCATTTTTGTTTGCACAAATGTTTGGTAAGGAGACTGGAATCTGGATTTTCTTCTRTCTCCAGAAGTACTTTAACTATGGCACACATCAGCCATCCCAGTTGTTTTTCCTATGGAAAACAGCTTCCATGGGAGAATTGAGCCCCATGCACCCATCCTTCCCACACCCTGCAAGGTCCCAAGCCGCAGCACTCCTCTCCCTGGCTAGACGAGCAGCCCACAGCCCTTGCAGGGGGCTCAAGAGATGATTTCAGAGCGCAGGAACAAGCTCTTGGCCTGTGCTGCAGGGGCAGGCACCTTCAGACACTGCTGCTGGGGCAAAGCTGGGATAAGCAGCAGAGTTTTCCCTGGGATTCATGGGTTGCCATGACCCAACACCTTGTTCCTCACCCCCATGGGGCTTCAACGCTTCTGGGCGCCCGCAGCAAGGGGAACGCAGGCTTCCAGGACCAGAACCCAGACCGCAGGAATATCCTTGCAACACAAGGGTTATTTTCCTTCCAAAACCATGTTTCCATAGTGCCCAATTATCATTTCCGCTCATCTGTTTCATACAAGCCAAATGGTGCCCAGCAAATTAGAATTAATCTTTTATGTTTCTCTAAAACTGCTATACCAGCAGTGTGATCCTTCACAGACTTCTCAAGAGGAAACCACACAATTCCTCGTGGAATAATGGGCTCATCCGAACCCCAATTCATCAAGCAGTCCCAGAGAAAACTTCTCCCAAATCCCCTGCCTGAGGAAAAGCCAAGTGAGAGGCGGGAGGCACGAAGGGCTGACTCATCACAACAGCATCTCTTCAGATAGTTCAACAGGGTAAAATGTGCTGAAGAGTCGAGCTAGCTTTAGCCCGATGTCCTAGAGGTAACATAACAAGACAACTTACACCAGCAGCTCTCTGCTAGAGCTTYCCTTGTGTTTTATTAGAGGACAGATAGAAAGTGTGTGGTGCTAAGTTCCTTAGGTAGGCTGCTAAGTTGCAAAAGCATCTAATAATATGGAAACCTAACTCATTACAAAGAAACACTTGCTCCTCCTCTGATTCCCACCAGCAGTGAATGCTATTTTACYTCAGTGTCTGAAGAACAGCTAGTAAATAAGAGCAGTGCAGATAAATTCCCTGGCCAACAGTGGGAAACACACCTTTGTGTTTATCAGTCATGGACACGCCGTAGAACAGAAACCATTAACACAATTGCTACCGAAAATTATGATAAAAGCAATAAAAGAGAAAGGGAAGCAACTGCACCAAYGGAGGCACAAATCACCAAGAGCATTTTCCTTGGAAAGCAAGTGTACAACAAGGCATCCTTGTTGTCACTATTTGTTTTGTGACAAACAAGAACAGGCAAGACAAGCAAATCCACTGAGTAAGCAAAAAGAGAGGAACAGACAATTATAATACACACTGCATACATCCAATTTCCRGTGATGCCATCCCAACTGCACATTTTACATCAAATCTGCTAACTTGTCGTGAGTTGTTCTGCAGTTGTATAAAACTATCTTTCCCAAACTTTCATATTATTTCAAAAGATGTTTTTTACTCACTGTTATCAGGAACAAAATCTTGAAACTCTCAGTATTATATGATCCTCTGATGTCTTCTGGATTCTGCAAACCATCTGAAATAACTACTCTGAAGAAGGAAAAACATGAACTGACTCAACACAACTTATGTTACATTTTTAACGCTATAGCTCAGTACTGGTTGCTAAGCACAGAAATAACTAATGGACTGATACCATAAAATTTCCAGCTTTCTGTTCTTGGACAAGTGGTGGGGAACAGACTGTCTTTCCTGTTACCTTTCCCAAAGCAGTTCTGCTTCTTTCAGACAGACACCTATAAGCCACCAGAGGGAGCATAAATCACAGAAACCTGGGGAAACAGTCACTTACTAATATAATTCAGCAAATCTCTGTTCCACTTGTAATGGAAGTGGCACTCGCAAAGATGACTTCAGTTACCTACTTGGCATAAGGTTCTTCCTTGAAAAGCCAACCTGGAAAAATCACCTTGTCCGGTCTGTAACCTCAGGGCGATGCGAAGACCTCACTGAGTTCAGTTTACGTGAAGAAAAACCACTACATGCTGTGAATTAGCTGAGGAGACGACACAACTTCCCCAACTGTCAACTGTGAAGTAACTTTTACCCTTCYTCCCATTTGCTTCTAAAAATTAGGACATTGAACACTTGAAATGTTCCTGCATCATTAACAATATAAAGCAATCAAAGCACTTGTTACATTCACAATATTCCACAAGCAAAGGTCTTTCAGACAGACRGACCTCAGGGGAGACCACAGGAGAATCAAGATAGAGGACATATTGCTATCTTGGTTCCAGATAAGCCTTTGACCTTTCAAAGAGACCAACAAACTCATTCTGAACAAAGTAAAACCACCTTTAATTAAATTCCTACATAAAACAAAATTTCTATGTAAAACAACAGTTTAGTCAAAAGGTAAATATATATATATCCCATTTTCTTTCAGATATCAACRAGAATTGAGAGCTACCAGTGTTCTTTGGAGAACAAGCAGTAGTTAAAGTCTGTTTTGCTGATGTTCAGAAACAGTATGTTACACCTTTTAACCAGCAGTTCCTATTGCACGTAACAAATCTGCTCTCCATTTAAGCACCTAAAGGCCTGGTACCTCACCAAATAAATTAAAACAAATCCAGTTTCTTCAGCAATCACCTTAAACACAGTTATTTCCGTAAAATAATATTACTGCAAATTTTAATAAATACAGAAAGAAAAGTTTAATGACTTCTCACTGGTGTCTTATGGCTAGATCTCCTACTATAAACACTCACTTTCCCAACACTTCCATTTTTGGTACATRTGCTCTAATAGTCACTATGTGCAACAATATTTGTGTCAAATTTCCCACACATACTCATAACTCAGTAGATCTGCATGGCACAACTAATCTGAGACAGGAATTCTCATTCATGTCAGGCTTGAAGGAGCTCCTCGCTGAACATCCAACAGATCTGACTCTTATGGGAGCCGACAACAGAGCCCCMGAGGCTGAAGGGGAAAACATTTCCTTGCAGGAATTTTTGGACATGTCTGGAATTGGCCTAACTTCCCTCCAACTAAAGGGCATGTGTTTGGTGTCAGGGAAACAAAACCGGGCAACCCCAAACACTTGGACACTGCATCATTTTCAAGGACATCCCCTTTGCTCCTGTTTTACCTTCTACTCTTCTTTTGGCAGCAGTGAAAGACATCAAGCAGCTCCCTGTAGTACAACGATGCTGTGGTTGCTATTTACAGTAGAATTAATGCATCTGTGCCAGTATGGCAGAATTCATATGAAAAATACACACAATATGGTCATTATTAGCTAGATTAGGATATGAAATTTTTACTCTTCTTTCAAGTCTTGATTTTGAAACAAAAAATAAGTCTTTGAAAGGTCTTCAAACCTCTTGAGTGTGTTAGAGYATATTACCCTAACATATAAAACAAATATTTACACCTCCTTAAAAGTACCAAAGAATTTTTAAAAATGCCTAGTAGCTCTCAGCGTGCAAAGTCAGCAGGAACTGATTATCCAGGATGTTTACTATCTGTACGGAACGTCTTGGAATCAAGCATTCACAAGCAGAGTGCAAAAGAATCAGGAATTATTTCAKGCCATTTCTTGCTGTTGCTGTTTTGTTCTCTTTCTTATTTTAAATAAATTGCGTTCGTCCAGACTACAGATCCCTTTAGAAAAAGAAACACTCATCAAGGTAACATTCAGATTAGTGCAATCCCCCAAATTCTTCAGGATCTGTAATCTTTTCGAACAGTGTGAGCCATCCAATTCACTTTAGTAGTCCAACTTTCCCGGAGTGCTTCATCAAACTTCTGCTTAAACTGTTTTAGTGCTTCTTCCTCACTTTTCCCTAAGGCGAGAGAGTCCTAAGAGAGCAAGAAAACAAGTACTATTAGAAGTTTTAAAATCACAGTTACTGCTACCTTTTCAATCCTAACACAAACCACATTCTGCATTTTTCTATTTTGAGTCTTTTCCTATTTTTCATTTATCAAGACATGAGCAGCAGCTTCTGGGTTTCAAGATAAAACTGAAAAGGAGAGCAGATGAATCAGARGTTGTTTTGAAACTGTCATTTAGTCACTAGCTAACATTTACTGAAAACACTTGMGATGGACATGCTAGCAGTCTGCAATGCAACAGTCAGGAATGATGAGCAACATGACATATACAGATGATAATTCATCTGATTAAGGTAATCTGAAGATGGTCCCTGGTAAAATTTTCCAGAGTTGCTCAAGTTGCAACGTTCGATCCTGCACTCTTASATTAAAAACCTCACTAGATCTTTCACTTGGCATTAAACTGTTAATCCCCAGATTGCTTTTTATGATGTATTTCTTGGACTGAAACTAGGCAAACCTTTTTCCTCTTTACAGTTCTGTGCTCCTGCATTGAGCTGTCAGATAAAGCAACCCTGGACTGACAATACATACGATGCAGGAACACCACACTCTTTACAAGATGGTCGAGGGGAATGCACAGGTCTGAGCTTCCTTTGATACCTCAGGCAGAGCACAGACTTGGTTCTGCACTGCTGAAAAAGCAAGCTTAGAGGAAATCCTGGGAGAACTAACCTAGGAAAACAAATAAACTTCATTTCTCTTTGACTCAGAATTCACATTCTGGAAAAACAGGATGTTCGTCCTGCAGGGCTCTAAATCTTCCTTTTTACCTTGAGATACTGAATGTCCTTGATGGAGGTTAGCTCTGGAAGGCCTGCAGTGAGCATCAGTGCAAACAGTGTGATGAACAGGTTCCCGTGTTTCCGCAGGATCAGGTAGGCATCTTCACAATACTGCCGGAACCTGGGTAAGCAATGACACAGACACTGAGCACAAGGACTGAGAAACTGCACAATTCACATAAAAATATCCAACCACTGCCCAACCTGTGCTTCAGCTTATTTTAACAATATTCTGTGGAGTTCCTCCCCAGAGGGAAGTTTATGAGGTATGAAGGCACATGTAAGCTGGCTCTATTCAGGTACAGAATTAGATATTATTGCAAACATACATTAGCACATGTGACACATGCAAAAACCATCAACCAAACCAGATAAACTTGGAAATAAAAGATAATTTCACTTAACAAAGAAAAAAAAAGCAAAATAATACTCACCGACCAAATTTTTCGGTGTTCCCTGTTTTTCCTTGTTGRATGACATGAATGAAATCATAGGTGAGGATGAAAGGTACCCGTTCCCTTTTAATTCCAAATTTGGACTTGAAATTGCCAAGAATATGCCCAAAATCTATATGGAAGAGCTGAAAAGCATAAGKGAGTATTAGTTTCTCCAGTGAAGTACCTCCCTCCTAATATCGGTAAAGGTTTCTTTAATCAACAGCTAACTCTTAACACTAGTGGTTTCAGCAAGTGATTGCACAAGATGCCGCTCTTTGGACATATGTAGCTCCACAATGTTTCAAGATGTATTTTTAAGTCAGTGACAACATCTAGGCTTTTATGAGTAACTACTGCTGCAAAGCAAGGTGGAAAAGATGATCTCAGTTTCAAATTTCTGATGTCCATCAACAGACATCAGACTGGTAACATCAGCTAGAAAAATAATTGAGCTCACCATTGAGCTTGAGGCTCAAGATCACCAATTCAGCTTAAGGCTCAATATCACAATGTCCAAAAGCTCCCTATAAAGTCAGGAGAGCTAGTAGGAACTGGTGTTGATTTCAAGGAATCTTTGACAGTTCTCTCATTTCAGAATCCAAGAGAAAGGTATATTAACCTTTTCAGGGGATAAAARCTTAACTAACAAAAGAACAGTGTCATGAATAACAAGATAACAAGCAAAACTAGACTCTCTTTTTTACATATATAACCCAGTCAAGAAGCATTTTATAGACAAAGTTTCACTAGTATCTGACAAATAAAACCAAAAGAAACAGAAGGAAAATATAACATCGGTTCTAGGTTTTGAGTCACCAAGCTGAACTGCTCCCAAGCCAGTTGCCTATTTAAGTTTTTTGCAGAGCTGAGCTGTGGAGCCTGTCTTTAAGGGAACGATGCCATTGCAAACTGCAAATCATACAGAGGTTCATCCTTTTCAAGGCCTCAGCTTATGAGTTCTGCCCAATTAATGTGAACACTACCAGGCCCTTCGGATGGTCTGAAACAGTAAGTTTTATAGAATCATTTTATAGAATCATTAATATCCTAACCTGTAACAGTCTAATAATTTAAATGCTTCTTATAAATAATATTAAACCTAATAAAGTATATAGTGCAACATATAAAGTCTAATATAAATAAAAGTCTATCAGTCTAAGCTATAACTGCTTACGAAGCATGCATTTACTCTTCTTYTCACTCGTCTCTTTGAATTTTAATGTTCTATTTTCTGAGAACTGAAGCAAATTTTCAAGGCTTTTTTTAAAATTAACTTGAGACTTACTTTTACTGAGACACTAAAGAAATCACGATACTGTAGTTATGTGAACGACTAACAGGTTTTTTACCTGACCATTTTTTCTGACCATGATATTGTCACTGTGTCTGTCCCCGATCCCCAGAACATAAGTAGCTACACAGTAGCCAGCGCAAGACAGAGTAAATTCTTCAATGGCTCGATCCAAGTCCTCTCTGAAAACACAAAGACAAATAATTGGTGCCTATTTTTGGTTATCCATCTCATACCTTGACATGAAAAAAGTGCTGCTTGCTTAAACCACAGGCCCACTGGGGTGCTGAAAAAACTCTGAGAGAAAATAATAATAAAATAAATATAATGACTAAATAATAATATAAAAACAGCCATGGAATTACGAGGGAAATGGAAATATCAGACAACAGCATCAAGATATGAAGCCTATTTAGTTTTCAAGAGTGCTTTAGCCTTTAGGACTGGGTTATTGTTTAAATTCCAACGACAACCTAGACCTGAGCAAAATTCCACATTCCTCAAGCCCCAGGGAAATTTGTATAGGTAAGTATTGCGTTTATTACCCTAAATTGTATTCCTTCAGCCAGTTTAGGAGAGCATCCTTGTTGAAGGCAGCAGCAGCAGCAACATTGCTGCTATTTAACTGAATGTCAGCAATGGTTTCTGAACTAGAAACAGCCTCAATAAGGCCAGAGTGATCTCCAGTCGCTAAACAACCATAGGGCAATATCCTGAAACAAAACAAAGATAAACATTAAACACAAAAGCAGCAAGACCTCTTTGCATATCAATTCTTTGTATATCAAAATTGATATCTTTGTATATCCATTTTGTGACAGGGCTGGATGGTCATGTCAAGTTAAACACTGAACTCTCAAACATTAGTACACAGATATTGCTCACTAAGGTAACACCAGCAGTCAATTGAAAATACTTTCTTTTCCAGTTCCATAAATATATACAAATTGGGCAACACTTTTGACTTTTACCTGAAATGTGGTACGAGAGACTATAGAGGGAGCTATTTCTTTTCATTTGTTAATTAACCAGCTAAAAAGGCAGTAAGGTTTCATCCACGTTCATTCCAGAAATATGTTATTCGTTTAAATGGAATGCAGGGTCCTTGGTTTTCTCCCATTTCAATGGAAAAAAATCCTAGAAACTGCCCAAGTATGCAGCTAAAAATACTACTTTCCAACACTTCAGAGTTCAAAAAGTCGTGCAAGATACTCCAACAAACAGTAATGTATATTAACTCATTTATAACAATTTACTTATTTATACACTATGCTTAGTAAAAAAATGACAATAACTGCATTAACATAAGGAAAGAAAAATAGGACAAACACCAAGGAACGGTATGTCTGTATAGATAGGTATATTATTTTTCTAAAGCAGTTCTTTTGGTTTCTGAAGAGAAAAAAGCATCACTTCTGGAGGACGGAAGAGGAACCAGTACTGAGCCTCTCACAGCATCTAACTCCAGATGCCTGAAGTGCAAAACGAAATAGGAGCTTAGATTTAATGTCTCTATGTAATGGAAACTTAAATTCCTCAAGGGTGCTACAGCAGAAGAGGCAGCCTTGGCACTTGTACTAGGCAGATCAGGTGAAGATCGTGCTCAGTTTTGTTGCTAGATGCCCTGCAGAAAGAAGAAACTGGCCCCACAAATCTAAATGGGGGATATAATTAATAAGCCAGCACAAACTTACAAAGCTGCATAAAAATTTGCAAGGCATGGTAAATTTATGTGTGTATATACAGAAACATAAGAAGAGGAAATACAACTGACCCAGCACAGTGTCAGTACAACCGACTGACTTTCACCAGCATTGCTGTATTTTGTATATAGTTTATATTAATTTTTTTTCACTACCTCCTCACTGACACTGTAAATTATCCCAAACCCTGCAGAAAAGTAAAAAAAGAAATAGATGCCATTAATGAGAACTTCTTGGTCTAATGGCTATTAAATAGCTGAACGTTTTCTTTGCAATGACGACACTTATTTCTCTAACACAGAACTGGAGTGGGCTTGAGGACCATTAAGTAGATAGTTGGGGTCCYTTTAACAGGCAACAAAATGCACTGAAAACTGGATTCGGTGGGATAGAGAATTAAAGAAAAATAATCTGTTTCCATGCTCATCCATTTCCCAGCTCAAAACCAGAGCTGTGCAGGCCAAGGGTCTCGCCGGGGCCCAAGAGCAGGCGCGAGGGCCCGCCACAGGGCTGCCGCAAGGAAGCTCTGCCCATCCTTATCAGGCCGGACAAAGGGAAGGCAGCGGGGCYGGGTTAAGGAGCAGCCCGGGCCGGCGGGATGGGCGCGCAGCCAAGGGCCTCCCCTCGCAAGGGCAGCAGCGCCGAAAGGCACCAGCGCCTCGAGGGCCCGGCACTCCCAACCGCAGGAAAAAACAGCCYTGTCAGGGAGAGCTTGACAGGAGTCAAGTGAGGGACAAATCCTCRGGGGCCTTTCCGCCTCATCCTGCTCTTTCTGACTTCCACGTCTGTCACCGGGAGACGCTCCCTGCTTTTTAATGCCACTCAGAGAGCCCTGCCACATATTCAGACTTCACACATATGAAGGCTRGTGGAAATGAAAATTCACTACGGGCTGCCAGTGAAATGAAAAAGAACCCCCTCTACCTGTGCCAAAACCAACTGTGCGCCAAGTATTTTTACAACAGTTTACCACAGTAAATATCACTTGACACAGATCAAATTTGTCATTTTTTAAACACTTTTTTTTTTACTCTTTTGCTCTGTTACTTTGCTGATTTCTCCTTGAGGCCAGCTGCAACAAAGCTCAAGTTAAAACTAAACCCCTTGGTGCRAGCGTTACTTTCCAAAAAGCTGTGAYGCTTGTGACACTGCAGACCCCAGARAACAGCCTGCCTGGAGAAACAGATGCAATGATCCTCTGCTGTGATAAATTCTTAATATTTAAACATTTCCCATAAAATAATAGAAAGCTGTGTCATCTACTATGACTAGGCATACACTATTTCAGACAGTGAAATTTTTCAAGCAAAAAAGAGCTTGTTACGTTGTGCCTCTTCAGAGGATTTGATCCTCTGAAAGTCTCATTTTGCCACTCAGCAAATGCAAACTCAATATAAATACTGTTTAACTGAAAAACCTTATTCTGTAACTGCTCATATTTAAATAACTATCATCAAAGAAGTAAGAAAAAACATATCCAAAAGATAAGGTATACAAATAATCTGAGGAAGTTCAATTCCACATTGTCACTAACTTCTTAGGCCAACTATCTCCTGCTGAATTTTAGGGTAACAGTTTGTCCTAAAAAAGCACAGATACATTTCTTTTTCCTCTAAATCCTGGGATTATTGAAGCCAYGTGAGTTGTTCTTTTATACTCGCTCTCTGGTAACTGATTGACTCGCATCTAACATGACTTCAATTCTGACTTAAACCTTTTCAGTGGAGCACTGATGGATTCATTGCCATGTGATGAGTGGGTTTGCGCCGGGGAGCTATCTGTACCTCACACTTTATTTGATCACACACTGAACAGTCCAGATCTTGCAAGTGCCCAGGACGAGGACCTACAGGAGCAGGTTCTTGCTCCCTCCTGCACACATGTACTGCCTTCTCTGACACAACCTTTGTTCTCGTTCCAATATCCCACCAGATGTGCACACTAAAACCCATACAGCACAACATAGCATGTGTGAACAAGGCCAGCATCTCCAGGGGATGGATTAGTTGACCATTACAAATAAAATCCTCCGTCCCTCTTTGCCTTTGMATAAATCAAGGACACTTGGTGCTTGTCTCCCTCCAGAGCAGAGGAATCTCACCGGAATACTGTTCTTGGATTAGAATCCCAGCCAAAGACAAACCAGCTAAGACGTCATTACAAATTTTTGCCAAAAACAACTGGATGGTAGCGCAGCTAGAAGGAAAYAGATCCTATCTCACACTGATAGCAACATAATTAGTTCCCACTTGATCCCTGCTTCACAGAAGCTGCACATCTACTGCAGCAAGACATTCCCAATTGGAGCATCTTCTCAGAGGAGCCGAGGTCAACAGTTACGCTTCTTAYGGTGGAGAAACAAATTTGAGGTCCTGTTTTTACTAGCATAGGTTTATCAAACATTCTGCAGTGGGGAAAACAAAGCTGAAAGGCAGGGATCCCATTACGCATCCACGAAAGGCAGAAAGAAAAACTGGTTTCAGGGCAATCTAAGCCAYGAAAGACTGGTGAGAGAGAAAGACTCCACTTTGGAATAGGTAACTGAGGTTGTACTTTTCAGGAAAACAGAACTATTCAACACTACTATTTCTCTTCACACTGAAGTCACCTTCTCAAGTTAAGTAAAGCAACAAGCCCCCACTCATGAGCAGAGCAACCCATCTGCAGTAATTCAGAGGTTTTTCATGTCACCTCTTCGCATGAGGATCACAGTCTCATCCCTTCTAGCTACATCCTTGTGTTTCAGATGCTGGAAGAGCTTCTTGCCCAGCTCTGTTGCCATTCTGGGCAATCTCGTTACTATCTTTTCGATCTATGCAGAACTGCAGTCCTGTCTCAATCTAAGTTTTGTTTTACAGTCATAAGTAAGCAAAGATGAATGGAAGGAAAATGTTCCCAAGTTGAGTAAGGAAATAGAAGAGGCCAATTATAGCAGTTAAAGTCTCACTACAAACTGCCCTTTTCCCCTATTTTGTTCTTGAGAGAGCTTGACAAAAATCGGATACAATCGCCACTATTTGGTTTCTCTTTGTTGAGTTACAGAAGAAAAAGGCATTAGTCAGGGAAAGCACATTTACTAACTCCCAAGCAGCATTCCTGTTTGCCAGGCACAGTGTGTGGGCCTGGCCGGAACCACAAGCTGCACTTTGGGGCAGGCAGCGACCAGAAGAATGTCTCATGTGGGATTCCTCAGCTGCCRGAGGTTGTCCTTGCCCCCAGGAGCTGCATCAGCCTCCTTGCAGTCTATTTATAATGACATAAATTATCCAAGTTCCCTCAACTCAACGTTCAGCTTAACTGCAACTAAACACCGAGCTGCCTCCTAGCAAATGTACACTTCCAGAAGCAATTTATTATTCACATTCTTGCTATATTCCATATTTCATTGAAAGAAATCTTTCTCTAAGTTGTATTTTTTCCTGATGGATGACTAGTTTATAATTTTCTTATCTGCGTGGGCTGATGTTATATGCCTTGTGAAACTAACACTATTACACTTCAACAAAATCTGACAAGATAAGCTCCAGACTCCAACTGAAACATCTCCAAAATAAATGAGTACTACTTGCCTTATAAACAACCTTTTTAAAATTGCAAAGCAGAAAGGATGAGTGCTCTACGTGCCACAAGCACACAAGACTGCCTTTATAGCCTACAAACACGTCATTAACAAAAAGTGAATTCCACTATTCCTTTAGAACTGTGTTTCTAAAGAGAAATTAGACTTGAGAATTCTATTAGGTAAAAACTGTGYTTAGGCCAGTATATGAAGTCAAGAAAGCTGTTTTGCAAGAGATTTTGGAGAAGGGAAAGCTCTTTCTGTCTAAAAATTGTTATCTGACATCCAAGTAGTGCTTCAGCAAGGAAAGAATGCTAAGCAGGACCTAAGAAATATGTTGAAGACACTCACATGGACTGTAGGTCTTTAGCAGTAAAAGGAAATGAAGAGAACTCACAGCAGAAGGAAAAAAAAGTGGCTGTTACAAAAAGTAGCTAGTTCACTGCTCATACAACCGATTAAAAATGACTAGCCCTTGTGGCAGAACACATAGCCCTAGAGGCTTAACAAAAGAACTAATAAATGAAAACCCTACAACCTTCTTCATGATTATCTTACATGTTCACAAACACTGCAAATTCCTACGCTTGGAAAAATTAGCCACTTCATTTTGAAAGAACAGCTTTTGCAGAAGGAGCAGTGCAAATGAGAAGACTCTTACTGAACTGGGTACTTCTGCCCTAAGAGATTTATTAAATGATGAGTTTCCATTCCTACTATGAGTTTACACTCTCACACAATGTGCTATGAGGAAGCAGAAATGGAAGCTTCTGGTTAAAAAATTTCACAGATCACACCCATACTAGTAATATCTCCCAAGTGCTAAATACTATGATTCTCTTGCACTTCTCCACTGATTTTGTAACATCTAGTTTATAAATATATTAACTGGCACCTGAAACTACACTAAGTCTGTCACAAACAAAAACCTCTTTGACCAAGCGAAATCTCAGCAGTGATGTAAAAGAAAAAAAAAAGATAAGAATTCTTAGAAAAAGGTAATTAAACCAATATAGAAGTATGGAACACAGAAACCTGCAGTAATTAGTGAGATGATCAGGTGGCAGGCGTATTTTGAGAGATGGAGATAAAAACCTTGCTGAAGTCAAGTAAAGGACATGTGCTACTCTTCCTTTTGCTCAAATCTAGTCATTTCACCCTAGCAATGAGGTTGGTCAGGCACGATTGACCATGCTGACTACTCCTGCCCAGCAACACCTCCATCATGAAGCCTCTTGCTGCAGCCCTCCTCGAGCAGGAGCAAAAGCAGCTCTCCTCCCCTTCCAGGCCTCTCATTTTCATTAAGTCTGTTTTTAATATGCGCAAGGCAGACATTGCTCTGTTAAATTGCTAGAAATAGATAGCAAGCATGAAATTTGTTTGGACTGGAACACATTCACTTGTGCCCATGGCTGCAAAACCCGTGTTTTTGTACGCAAGAAAAGATGGGTGGGGTTGAAGGGGAGGAAGGAAGAAGGAAAAAAAATCTGATTGTTTGGGTATTTCACAAACCTGGTAATTCTCAGTCTGACAATAAATTCTATTATAAGGAATCTCAGATCTCCCAAATCTAGTGCCAGTATCTTCCTTACCTCCTTCTTTGCCCCCACATCTAACAATAGTTAAAATTACCTCATTTCTCGAGAGGACGGCCTATTAGAGCTACATGCTAGGGAATCCAGATTGTGAATTCTGGGCAGCAGTGCTCAAGCACTAGACTATAAAATGTCTTTGCACAACAGCTTCTTCACTGGCTGGCATATTTGTGCTCTGTGTTTGTACCTCACCTGTATATGTGTATTACAACCTAGAAAAAGACTGGAATTCCCTTGAGAAATTTCCCTTGTCCTAGGACAAACACCCTGTTCATACAATGAACTCCCCAATGTTTCAATTTGCATCTTCCACTACTGTCTTCCAAGGTTAAATCTGTTTATCAAACAAAACTGTACCGCAAAGAGAAGCTATCTGATGAGTTAAGGTGACTTTTCTACAACCTGTTGACCTTGGCAATGAAAATTTTGTGCATCAATACCTAAGTTGATAAAGACAAGAGTTGGAAAGAGAGATTTAAAAACAGAAAAGTTTTCCTGATAGAGATGGACTCTCCTTACAAATAAACAAGCCCTGAAGAGACCCTTACCGGAGATCCAGACCAGCTTCTTTCCAAAGTACATCCATCAAGCGCAGTATTTGGAGTGTTAACATATCCTGCCGGAGATCTGCAATTCAAAGTTGAAAACATCAATTTCTGATTGTGCTCTAGACAAACTGTTTACTGTCTTTATCAGTCTACCTGACTGATAAAATCCATGCTTTGAAAGTCAAACAGGAGAAAATTTGCTCAACAGTGCTAGAATAATGCATGATTAAATTACAGTAACACAGGGAAACATAGATTAAGTGTGAGAATGAAAGGGAAGAAAAATTATTAAATTGCTGACATTTCTTACCATCGCCATTTTTGAAGATGATCCCTACAAGATCTCCCCCAAACATTTTATTGTTGTACACTATCCACAGAGGTTTCATTTTAGAATCCATGTATTTACACTTTTCGACACTACAAGAAAAGAGAACACGGATTTTAGTCAAATAAAAATATTTCCACTCAACAGCATTAAACATTGTTCAAAGCAGAATAGAAAATATAGCACTTCCAGTTGGGAAGTACTTCAATGTTATTTCTGCTTTCACTGTGCTACTACATTGGCAGTGCTTATCAAGTAACAAACATATTCGTTATATATCAAGTGAATTACAGATCCTGTGACTGGAATACATTCATCTTGCATCTAAATTTAGCATGCATATTTTCAGCGAAAATATATAATCTTCCTCACCTCTTGTTGCACCCATTTTAAAATTATGTTTAAGTGCTTTTTTTAAATTTATCTTTTGTCCTTATTGTTGTAGAAACAGAAGCCAAGAACACAGTCTAACTCACTTCAAGTTTTTAATTATGGTTATCTATCAATAGCATTATTTCTTAAGGCAAACTGCAAAAATCTTCAAGCTTAATCCGTATCTTAACCTTAATAAGCTGAAGATTTGCTGAGTCAGCTGAGAGGATGACCGATAACATTTCTCTCACTCTAGAAAAGGCATCTTGTTAACATATCCGCTAAACAATATATTCAAGAAGTTAAAGCATATGCGCATTCTGACATCTATTTCCCTAAAAAAAGCTAATGAACTGTATTCATGCAATTATTCTGAACTTACTGTAGTTCTGAAAGTATAACAGAAGGATTCAGAGGAGACTGGAGGTCAGAAAGTGCTTCCCTGTAAGCATTTTGTTTCAAACATGTGTGCATTGCATCTTTTCCTTTTGCTTTGCTTTGTTTCATGGCATTCAGCTTAATTAAACTATTTAAGGTCTTCATTTTATTAAGGGCTTCCACCTGAAAGAGATGCTTTAAAAGTTATCCCACAGAATAAGATACAGAAAATCTCATTTTAAAACAAATCTTCAAGTACTAAACCAAGGCATCAAACAATCCTCCTGAAGCACTCATGCCCCAGACGTCTTACACTTTTAAGTAATTATGACAAATAAAAGTCCAACAAATTCATGTCATCTCTGAAAGTAAGACTTAATATTTTCCAAAAGTATATGAAATACCTTCATATGTAAAATATTTATACAAGTTCCTTCAAAATACCAAGTCATTTTTTGGCCACATAGAAAATCAACAGAGCGTAGGTGCTACTATCCATACTGAAGTCAATCCTCCTGAAATTAAGCATAAGCTTATAAACTCTAATCAATTAGGCCATTCATAACCATAACGTATTGTCTAAGCAATACTTTCTCAGTGTGTAATAAGGCAATATAGGTGGGTTTAGCCCTTTCTTTCCCTTTCTCCCGCTTTGACAAGTTCTTATTGGTGCACAGCCTGCAAGAAAACAACCAAACTAGCTGCAAACACACAAACACACCCAACATCAACACAGCAAAGCCCTTTGGCAACAAACCTACTGCATATACACCACACATTGCTTCTATACTGCATGTACATCTAAAATAGTTCTTAGCTTATTATAAGCTAATTATGAATGTAAGTCATATTTAGAGGAACCACTGTTAACATGCTCAGTAGGATGCATGTTTTCTACCTGATAGCATCAATTGAATACTCACAATATTGATTTCTCTACAGGGAAGCTTCAGCCTAACGCCCACAGGGAAGCTTCAGCCTAACTCGCAAGGTGCCAAGGCAAAGCCTAGCGCCGCGCCGGGCAGAGCGAGCCCTGCCAGGCAGGATGCTGGGGAAACCGTATGCACTTGGATTACACAAGCGAGGCGCTGGAGCCTGGCCAGGTCAGCCATCTGTCCAAACCCAGCGCTCGGCTTTTCCACTGCGCGAGCTGCTGCACAAACAGCGCTCACAAGGGAACAGAATGGAACCTGTGCTGTGCAAACAGGAACTTTTTGAAGTATTTCTACTTTGAATTTCTTCCGTGTTTTCACAGTTGGGGTTTTTTTTGCCCCTTCTTTGATTCTGGTGACATTTGTTTCCTGTGAAGTGCACRAAAACTTTAGTGACCTCAGGCCTATTACTTAAAGCATTTCATCACCTCCTCTTTCTATGATTCTGACAATGCTAACAAGCACACTCGTGTTGGAGACATCTCTCCAATGCCCTGCGAGCAGCAGCAGGGAAGAGCASAGAGGCCCAGTCCTCTCCTCTGGTCCCTGAGGCACAACTGCAACACAGGCAGCAGCAGAACTGCCAGAAACAACAACTGTCAGACACCACACAACAGCTATTTTTTGTGGTTTGATTTACTTGATAAAGGAAATAGATTAATATGAGATCTTTTCATGGATTTTATTGTAACAATCTAAATTTGTTAAAATTTTATTAGTCTTCAGAATAAGACTTGAGAGTGCCTTTATTACTGACCTGCCGATACACTTGCATACTAGAGCGTATTGAAGAAGTAAACCACTCTCCTCTTTCTTTTTACCAGCACTATGTTAGCACTAAAATTAATATTTGGTTTACTTCAACACCTTTATTTCCAAGGAATACTGCAGAAGAGCACAATTGAAGTTTGTGTGCATCACTACCTTTTAACAAAAACTAAAGCTGTAGGGAGCAATCCTGCAGTCACCTAGCTGACATTTAAGTAGTAATATCTTCTATTAAAAACRCTGTTCTTAAAGGGAAAAAAGTTTTAAGGGTCCTTCCTCAGTAAGTTCTTCTGCAGACAGCCCTGCCCTGAGCAAACATGTCTTCCTACTTGTGCATCACTCCTGCTCTCCAAGGCCCAGCAGAGCCAACTACTTTCCGTGCCTCAGGCTCCTCCGCTAGTGCAGCCAGTTCCTTCTCTCTCCTTTCTTTTYCTACCCCTCAACACACATAACTTTCTCGAGGTAACCAACGTGCCCCACAGGAGGAATGGGGTCATTATRTGAGTTACAAGCTTGGCTAAGCCAAGCCTGCAAGGAGAGGGGGGTCCCTACCTGTTTGGCCAGCACCTTCATGTGCGCGACGCTTCCTCGGCAGTAAGCCTCTAGTATTAAACCAAACTGCACCGAAACAGCAGGAATATGAACCTCTGACCTGCAAGGAAACAAAACAGGAGAAAAGCTTCTCATTTATCAAGATRGATCACATCATTTTACAGCTTACTACTCTGCAAGACATGAACAAAACAAAGAAAACACCTCGTCAGTTAGATAAAAAGCAGATTTTAAAGAAATAATGTARCATTTATGGACTAGATCTCCAACACAGCACACAGGTTTAGCAAGAAGGAATGGAGCAAGTCTTACCTTAGATGCCAAAACAACATCTGCCCTATTCTCCTGTTAGCGAGCGCTCTCTCTAGCAGGAATCTGGAGAGGGCACAATCCAGGAAAGGTTCGTATTTCAGGACTTGCACAAGTTGAAGGAGATACTGCGAGAGCTCCTCATCACTAGAACAAGGCACATAAAGCCAGTCAGCAACAGGGGACTCAYATGAATGATTTTCTAGAAACCCACAGGCACGTGACAAACTCTGCCAGAACAGACCTAGTTTCAACAGCAGAAGTGTCACAATCTTTCACTCACATGGAAAAGAAAAATAATGCACAGCTGAGTATAAAATTGACAAGCAGGTTGAGTAACTGGTCAGTTAKGTACCTGACAGAACCCTGAGGCCATCAAATCTTAAAGGAAAGGATCCCCAAAGTGTCATCTTTATGTTGCTGTTTTTACCAGCCGGCTTCATGGACTTCTTAAAGAACTTAGAAACCTTTTTTTTTTTTTAATATTCAGTTGAAGATGATTTTGCTTCAGAGATGGAACGAAGACTACTAATTCCAGATGTAACAATTCAACTTTATTCGGCTAGCCCTACAGCTAAATTACTTGTTTACATTTTAAAGAAGTCAAAATATTTTTTTTCCAAAAAAAATTTAGCCTTGACCATTAAAAAAATTAATCATTAAACTATTCACCGTGGGGAATTTAGAATTCAAGGACAGGAAATGAACAGTAATGCTGCAAATGATAAGGTTAAACAAATCTTGCCTCAGGTTACAGTGAACAGCAAAATTATATATGATAAAGAAAGAATAGCAGATAGCAAAGCCTACCCTAAAGAACAAACAAATAGTTCTCTCATTTGATCATGGTAAGTTACAGATTACATTTCTGTTAAATGATGCAGATAATGGCTGGCAGGGAGAGATGGGTGGTCAGATGGCAGTTCTAGTACTTGATTCCTGTAATAATTTGTCCCTTCGTTATGAAAACAGACACAGCCTTCCCTTGGGCCCAAATAGGCAAGAAYATGGAACAGCAGAACAACAGTTTTATTTGGCTACCATTTTACTTATCTAGAAAAGATGCTTTACCTGGGCACCTATATGTGGCAGGCAGCTTGCTGAAGCCTTTGGGTCCTTTTCTTCTTGTTAACAAACTGAATTACTTTTCCCCCCCCAACAACTGCTGAACTAAAACACGTACTCACCTCATTTGTTTTAAACAGCCCACTGCGTATTCCCTCACATATTGGTCTGGGTAATTGAAATCCAACAGTTCTAAAGCTTCTCTAGGCGGCAGCTTGGGCCAGATCTGAAGCAGGGCCTGAAGCTTTTATAAAAAGAAAAATATTAGGTTMCACATTAAGCAACTACTAAGAAAGCTGCAAGTATAGCTGCATTTGGACAAYGCACTCACACTAAGAGAAGAAGAAAAAAGCCTAATTTCTGATCAAGTTACTTGCCCTTTAAATTCATCCACATGATTTTTGGCAATGCGCCTTGTTTACATTTAGTCAGAAACATCCATTTCTTCATACACAGACATGATGCACAGTAAATAAAAATTAGGTAACCCCACATGCAAATGTTTTATAAACAGTTTCAAATAAAATTTCAAGAATGTTTTGTTAAAGCTTTCATGACTATACATAATATACATAATATATGTAAATATTTTGGTAATGTTAAAAACTTTTTACAAATAAAATATCAAAGAGTTTTGTTTAGAAAAATATTTACCAAAATATTTAGCCTCTAATTGGATGCACTGTGGATGGCTATTGGGTTAAACTGCAGCAAGGATGATTTGAGTTAGATGTGAAATAAAATCCTAAAATCACTTAAAACAGTGATGTGCTGGAAAGCACTAGTGTACCTATTTCAGACTAGTAAGAATTAAAACACACAGAAGTCTCTTAAGACTTTTGATATATGAGATGTGTAYATATGTATGTAGATGTATGCATATACATACACAAATATACATGTAGCCATGCATATTTAACAGTACATAGTTATACGACTGAAAGCAGTACACTAATACACGAAAATAAACAAGTCTGCATGTGCAAACAGTATCAACCATATCCTCCTTTAGCAACTAGTCACARCTCATTATAAAAACCTCCTTTCCTACAAATTTGATTATATTTTAGAGTTAATAGACAGAATTTAAAATCTGAATGATTAAAATGACCTTATGAGTTTTCTCTCAAGTTAGCAGGCCTTTTACTCATAGTGAAAATCTCCAATTTCTGCTATATGTCACAGTACCACTAATATTCAAGTATGAGAAACATGTATGAGTTCTTAATATTAATTTGTATTTATTATCCAGCTTTGTAACACCATTTAAACACTAAAGGGACCAAATTCCTAACTGGTTAATCCGTGCAATTTTGTGAACTTCAGAAGCCAAGAAAAAGGTACAAAAGAATCAAATAGCAAATCCAGTAGCCATGCTAAAATTCCAGGAGGGGAGAAGGGAACCAGTGCAACTGTTTTCATGACCAAATACTTATTGAAGGAACACAGGCAGGATTCCTAAAAAAATAGAAGATGGCTCTGAACATGGATATCCTTTTCCACAGAAATACACACTTAAAATCTATTTAATCTGTAGAACGGAAGGACCAGTGACACCAATCCTTATGTCAAGAAACACTACAACCATCATCACAAATATTAGTCCTCAAAAYCTAAAATAAAAAATCCCCTGACTGACAATAGCATAAAACAGATGCTGAAAAGGCAAACAGCAACCATGCCTGTCAGAGGCAGAATAAGAAACTTCAAACTCACATATCACAACTCCTAGACAACATATTTGAAATCAGGTGCAGCAAAAAAAATACAGCAATATTCTGTGAAGCGACAGATGATAAAAATTAACAACTCAGTTCTTGGGACATGGCACGCCCCAAATTAGCCAGCRAGTTTTGCAAGTCGGTCTAGAGCAGAAACATTCACCACAAAGCATCTCTGAAGGCACAAATCTCATTCTGACTGCACCAGCACTCRAGTGCTAAAATTATTTCAGAGATGACTAAAATGAGGAAACGTTTTGTGGTGCGACCTGGGAGACTGCTAAGAAAGTTTCCCAAATATGCACTGCTCCGTGCACATCCTGCTGTGGAGTTGTTATGAGATAAGCTCAGCCCAACTGGCCGCGCACCCGGGGTGGGCGGCAGGCTGCTCAGCCTAAAGGACCCGCTGCGTGGCTCAGCTGGACTAGAGAAACATGCTCTAAAATGCTCYGTGGTGCCCCGACAGCGGGGACAGCTCTGAGCAACTCCCAAACACTTATAAAGGCTTATAAATGTGTTTTACCTTTCAGAAACATCTGCCAATATGCACCTCAAGCTTTAAGTGYTATCTGCTGTTTGAGACTGGTTCTAACTGTCCACACGCCTCCCTGCATCATCCTCSTCGCAGTCTGCAGCTCCTGACCGATTCCCTTCCCAGCAATAAACTGGACATCTCGAGAAAACTCAAATTCAGTCYGTTTTCTACTTTTTTGGCAGAAAATAAAAGGCCACGCATTCTTCCCTAACAAAACACGTTCRCTATTGGATAGAATACAACACAGGACAGCTCAGGAATTTTTATCCCAGTTATTTCAAACGCTTCCAGTCAGCTCTCTGCTCTGCTGTCTTTTCTCCAGGTTATTATCCAGTTCAGGATGGTGCCACCTCACCAAAAGCAGATTTAAAAAAAGAAAGTTCAGCTTCTGCTTTGAGAATAAATACTGTGCATGCAACTCTGCCAACAGGCTCTGCTGTCCTACCCCTGGGATGACTGAAAAGCAAGTGCAACTTGCCGTTATAACACTGCAATACAATAAGAGACTGCAGGAAATATATATGGTAGTTGATAATGACTTGAAAACATCATGCTTGTAAGTCATATAATATATATTAAGTCATATATAACTTTATGGACCACCGAACTTTTGAAACTTTACAAACACTGATTTAAAATGCTTTACCATCAAATACTTGCTCTTATTTTCTCTCCCCCAAAATATTGCTCTCCATCTGTAACAGGAAATGTAGTTTATTTTTCTTCATTTTTCTTGACAATAGCTCTGTTTAAACATTTTGCCCTAACTAGTAGACTTTCACAATAATACTTGTTGTCAACAGTATGCTTCTAGTACACTCTCAGCACAAGGCACATATGTTAGTATAGCAGTACTAGTATTACAGTGTATACCTAGTACTCAATGTATTTAATATTGATAATTAATAGAGATGAAGCACAAATCACATCAACTTTAAAATCCATGTTAAAAAAAWTGCTGTCTTTCCTCACCAGAAAAAGGGAAGCACTTAAGTGCCTTGGGCATCGGGGATGTTTCAGAATTCAGATATACTATTGCTGCTGCCCAACATCCCATTCAAGCACATCACACTAGTGTCTGGTCACAAAGAAATGGAAAAACAACAGGCCCACAAATAACCAACATGCCTGTTTGCAGCCATTAATTTAGATAAAATTCTTGAAACAATTTTATCTATATTCCCAAATTTAAAGCATCTTTTAAGTTGTAAACCACTAATCTATACTTCACATCATTTTTCAAAAAGCTTCAAAGACCATACTTTGAAGGTCCCAGTAACAGATCAGTATACATTTAACACTTTTAAACAACAAATACCTGCCTATATTTTTACAGTTCATACTGCTCACTAACTTCTTTTAATAAACAAAAAATTCAGAAGCACATATGGAAATTAATGAAAAACAAGAGAATTCTTGCATATGAAAAACCCAAGACAGACACATGTGTGTCATTAGTGTAGTGCTCCGTGCACAGACATCGACCTAGGAGGAAAACCCTGTTATTCTGCAAGTTCTCAGARTATCCAACTGGTGGGAAGGATGTAGCAGAGAAGAGCCCCTATCCTGGAGGCAAGCTATGAGTCTGTGACTGAGCAGTCACAGCAATTGGGAGATGAATAGATGGAAGTTGGGAGTTTTCATGGAGTCGTTTCCTTTTCTTCCAAAAAAGGTCAGACYAATGATCAAGAACACAGATGTATATTATGGACTTCAATCCTACACARCAATTGCTTTTTAGCTTGAACTTCACAGAACAGCTTTCCTTTCAAAGTACCAGTGGAAACAATTCTTCTAAAAATGCCCAGATCACTTCTCACACCACAGTTATGATCTCAGTCTAACAACCTGCACCAACTTGTGGCCCATTCCCCAGTGCAGTTGTGGCAGGGTGACCAGAAGCTGCACAGTGTCTGGATTCACCAGGAGAGCCACTTTGTGTCCCTTAATGCCATTCAGATTCTTATAGCTTTGCTCAACTTGCTGTGTGCCCAGAAAAAGCAAATTCCAACACAAATACATGAATCTGACTTTTAGGTCAATCTATTAAGCAGGAGCAAGCAGCTTCCCATAAATTTCATGTATTTTTGATATATCCACTCTGCAGTTAATCCCCAAAAGCATTTGACACTTGGATTCTATTTGGGTGAAAGCAGAAAGACGCAGACACAGCAGACACTGTACAGTATAAAGAAATAACCTTGCACAGCTACATAGTCAAGTTACACTGTAAATATAACCTTGTTTCACAATTAACCCAAAGCCTTTAATTACTTGCACAGGCGGCGCTTCAATGGGAACCTACTCGGTCCAACTGCCTCCCTGAGGAGCCTGAGGTCCTTGGTCTCCCCAGTGTGCRCTGCAGCTCTTGCAAGATCAGCTGCTTCAAGGAGGTTTAATTACCCAATCCAAGACTGAGATTTTCATGGTCTTGAYGGAATTTAACAAAGCTTTATGTCAGGATTTTCAAATTAGCCTGTACGAGCAATTTACAGGCTTTTCACATCATTCAGAGGTTCTCCAAATATATTTGAGTAAGCTCTTGCTTATGAGTCCAAACTACAGCAGTTATACAGTCTTATTTTACCAACCAAAATACATTGCACCATTTAAAAATTTCTCTGACTGGCTAGGAAAGAAGATATAAAAAAATAGAATAAAACACACAGATTACACACCCTTCCTCATGCTTTGACTGCAGCATTCTTTCATCCATCCACTCTCCTCATCCTTTCCCTTACCTGGGCAACATCTTCAAGTTTGTTCCACTTGAGGGAGAGCAGCAGTTTTGGCAGCGATTGGGGAAAGCTTTCGCGACAGTCGTAGCGCAGCGTCCAAATGAGGTCCATCTCATTTTCACACAGTTGCGATAAGGGATCTCTTTCCATGATTTCTTTCAGCACGACATAAAACTTCTTACCACCTCGACCCTAGAAAATGAGAAATCCGTAACATCTTGAAACATGCTGTAAGATCCTAACATTCAAATACTCTAAATTTTATATAAAGAGAAACATGACACTAAATTCCAGGAACACGGGGGAATGCCTATTACGCCTTTCTGTCACATCACAGATTTCTAATACAGTCAGACTCAGTGTACAAAAGTTTCTGAAAAAGTACCTAGCTTTTAGTGTTTATGACACTAGATGGCAATGTTTCTATTTWACAACTTTAAGATGGAGAATTTATTTAGGATGTGCATTCTCCTTTTGGGCTTTCAATTAAGCAATTTTTATTCACATACATACACCAAGTCCCTCCTCCCTCCCCAAATAAAACRTCAAAAAATACTTTTCCAGTACTAACCAAAAGGAAATATATTTGCTACTCCTACAACCACATTTTTTCATCTTCTAATCCAGACTTGTCCTTTCCAGACATTGTTTTAATCGCTTTCCTCTCTGCAACATTAATATAATTACTGATTCTATGAATCTGATTACACAAATGAATCTTCATTTAAGAATCACTGGCTTAGGGTGCTATCTTGTACTTCCAGCCATACTCTTACACAAAATACAAGGCCAGAAATATAATTAAAGACACCATCAAAATCTGAATTCCAAAAGGCACTGAAACATAACAGGAGCTGCACCTTTTGGGTAATGATGTAGTAGGTGCATCAAATAAATTAGTTTGAATATGTATTTTGGAAACAATACTTCAATTGAAAGCTGCCTTTATCTTCCAGAAGGCCAAAATTGTTTCTAAAAGATTTTTCCAAGTTCAGGGGAAGAGGCAGCACGAGTCAGTTCAGACTGAGGGCAGCAGCACACAGCTCATTACAGTCACACACTGCACAGGTTCAGCTGACTGATCACAGCTTAAGCTTAGCTCCTTCCAGGAAAGATGGGTGCCTGAGCCATGCACTGTGCTGAAATCACTTAAGTAAAAATTATTATATAAAAATACCTCAGGCAAAYGCAACAGCTAGTTTTAAGTCTCTTTTTTTTTTTAATACTAATCCCTTAACTAAATAGCTGAAATGTTTGTTTGGTCMAACTAAATAGACACTCTACTTCAAAATAAACCCTAAACAGTCATAAAAATTTGATCCTCGTGTCTGCAAAGGCTAGGCTTTTAAATGAGAAGTCACAATACAATATTAAGCTGATATTCTTCTACGTAAGAATTCCAGTTATAGTCAAGTCAGTTGTTCATAACAAAAGTATTWGTGAGCCTGGACTCTTCCTGAGCACTTTAACCACGATTAAGTGGCATTTTTTTCAAGTAACTGCTTTACTTTTATATATAACACAGTTACTACTGTTGCTGCTTTCACCATCGCCATGTTTGCAGTCTTCTGTGTATTTTTACAATGTTTTCCCAAATATAAAAATATTCAAGAAAACAACTCTGAATTTTACAGATCATTCAGTGATTGCCTTCATGTCAGAACTATCTATTTCCTCAAGATCTCCTAATTTCCAGATTTAAGAAACATCTTGTTGGAGACTAATCATCGTATTTGAAAGCATTTATCAGAAAACATCTGACGATCAAGGATATCAYCCTAAAATTGATAGTATCAAGCTTTGTACAAATGTTTAGGGCAAGCTGGGAACGCTTCCCAGCTCCAGCACTAATGGAAATCTGGGTTGTGTCCCAAATGCTCCCCATGCAAGTCCTGCTGCAGGGGCACAGGAGCCCCAAACACAACACAAGTGGAGTTTTAGTTACCAAGTATTATACTTATTTCTCTATAGATTGCTGCAGAACATATACAAGGCAGCTAATGCTGCAGCTCACAGCAGCTGCTTACCGCCATGGCAGCGTTGTCACTGCTCTTTGCAATCTCTGCTGCCTTTTCAAGTATCTGCAAAAGAGGATTTTAAACACATTAGATTTAAATTCAAATCTGACTATAGCAAATACATAAACACTAAAGAAATGAGGCATTTAAGGAATTATTGCTGTCTTTTACAGAATTACAGCACTACTATATTGACACAATAGTACGTAGCCCAAGTTTCAACAACCATAGYATGGAAGCTACAAGGCAGGAAACAAAGAAGTCAGTGGAATAGGTAGTGTTTTAAAGAAGGACTCAACAGCTACTTAGAGATAAGCATTAATGACTCCAGCTTATTTAAGATCTTACCTTATCAAAGGGAGGATAATTAATAGGCTGTTTGGAATATTCTTGAAATCTAATGTGCAAAGCTGTTGCGTTTTCAGTGTAAGGGTTAGTCTGGACTGTTCCCATTGGATTTAACATTTCTTCAAGTTCATCTAAAATATTAGAAAAAATATTATAGAATAGGAATCTGCATAAAGTAACAAGAAATCCAAAAAAGGGCAATGATAAAAGAAATTGTTTCCTATATGCAATGGGCAGAAGCATATTTTGCTACGCAGAGCACAYGCTCCACAACGCAATGAATTTCAGGCATAGACTATCCTCCCCTCACATGCTCAGAAATGTTGGATTCTTACCCCATGAAATATATTTTCCTAAAATAATACAAAATAAAGGGAAGCCAAGATATCCCTGTACTAAGCCAAACCCGTAATGCACTTCCAATCACAGTGAGAAGTGCAGCTTCTGTAGCTCAGCATGCATTACCCCTATATAAATCAGTATGAAACAAAAGGGGGTTTAAGCCAGATTTCTTTCATCACTATACACAGCCAGGCTGACGTGGTATTTCTTGTGGACGGATCACGCGTGACGTCTAGGTTTCAGGCAGTTTTAGCAAGCAATCTAAATCAGAATTGAGCGAAGCCTTAAAACAATTCTAGTATGTGTTCCTTTTGTTGACTTAASATACTGCTAAACATCCTACAGCTTTGTCATAGGCAAATATTTGTGATAGGCAAATTATTTTGCACCCAGAAAGAACCAATAAATCCCAAAATGCATCTTAAACAGGTGACAATACTCAGCTTTCATGGATTTTTTTAATGGAAGAAATTTTTATAAGACTACTTCCAAAGAGACCCTTAAGACATAATGATTGATTTCTACAAAAAGAACTAAGGCTGTATACCTTTACCCACATAACACAAAGATGACAAATTTTGGATGCTGAAATTAAGTATTTCATTATCTTATATTGCTCTTTTACTCTTCTTTAGCCTCACTAGTAATTCAAGTCTGAGTCTTWSAAGTTAAACTTTACCAGGAAATGAYGACCAGCTGTGCAGGATGAGCTCCCCGTTCTTCAACTGTCCTTTATAATCAAATACCATGGTATTTACCCAGGCTACAGGATAGTGCTGTCAACAGAAATAGTTTTTAAAATGTAAACTAAAATTCCACTGAAAGTTACAATGCAGTAACTACTACAAAATCAGCAAAATTAGGTATATATAAGAAACCCTAGTTCCATCTTTCAGAAATAGCACAGAATTAGCTCTCAGTACATGCTCCCGTCCCACTGAAGACAACAGAATGTAGTTTTAAGAATAACGGCACCGGTGGCACACTAAAAATACATATTTCTCTGAACAAAAGCCTGCACACTCATTTTTCACTCTTTAAAAAACCTACCATATGCAGAGTTCAGAAGAAAACTAACTTAAAATAACTAAATTCCTGGAATAACTAAAATACAGTTCATTTCTCAATGCAGCCATCTGCCAACTGGCTTGCTAGTAAAATTTTAAGCCTTTTTCAGCATCTGAAAAATATAAGGGTTTTCTGTCCTGAAACATGCGACTCTTCTTTACAAATACCTTTTTTTTTTCCCCCTGCAGATTTTCTCTCTTRAACACTAACATGAAGACATAAGACCTCTGAATACTCAGCTGAGGATAATTCAGAGGTGAACTCAAGAAAAACAAAGAAAGTAATTACCACTTTTCCTGCTTTCCTAATAGTCTGGTATTTGGGYGGATTCATGGCCTTGGTTGACTTCTTGGTTTTCACCTTATCCATGACAGCATAAACTGCAAAGCAGAGCCGTGCCATCCTTGGGAGGTCGCAGACATTTATTTCAAACTCCAGTGTTTCATTCCAAACATGGTCACTTCTCCCAGATATTTCTGTGCTTACTATAGTCTTACAGAGGAGCTCTGTGCCATGGAAAAGACCAGCCCTAACATGAACCTGAAATAAAGAAATAAGAGGAAAAATATGTAAAGATTTCCACAAAATATATTTGAAGATTTCCACAAGACCTACCCACAAAACCTGGAGAACACTGTACAGAAAACTCAGAACATGTATTTTCGACAATATTTTWAACTTAAAAATAAACACGGCATTTAAATTTGTGTTTTTGAAATAAACCAAACCAAATCATTATTGAAAACAACTGACAGGTCCTTCTGTTCTTCATGCTCTTGACCAGGACTAATTGTACACATAAAAATTAAATGGCATATCTACTGCTTGAAAATGTCAAGCAATTAACATTAYGCAAAAGTTGCTTCTTTTCTGGTGTCATCATGTGCATGAGGTAGTCTGAAAAAATAAGAACCATCTAAGTACTATTATAAATCAAAAATAAGTTTTAATCAAGAAACAATCTTTTAAATTGTCAAATATAAATTTCAAAATTAATTATAAATTGATRTATCTTTCTCTTTAAATTCTATACTATAGAAAATTCTTTCTGAAAAAAAATTGCAAAATAGCAAAACATGCACTGAGTTACTCAGCTTACTCAGCATTAAAARCACCCCCCCACACATGATTTTGCCTTATTCCCTCCACAGTGCTAGCTGAAAATAACTCGCATCTAAATCTGTGCCAACTTGATCTAAAGTCTGTCTAGAAAACAGAAAGCAAGGGTTCACACGCCAACCCACTCCATCTTTCTTGTTTCAAGGCTGAACCATTTATTCATCCTCTTTGCTCCCATCTTAAAAACTTCTCATCACCCAAATATTTCAGAAAAAAACAGAAATTCTAGAGTCTGCTTTAACTTACATTTAACTGTCCTTCAGCTGCACAGAATTAAATGCATGGTAATAAGAGTGAAAACTTCAGTAGACATAAGAAGRGCCCACAGTAATAACGTTGCTAACATCCTAATTCTTTTATCATTTTAAAATTTCCCTAGCAAGGCTTCCAAACATGCCACTCCCTTGGACTGCAGTTGCATACGAGGAAAAATATTTTATATTCATTTTTCAAAACGAAGGGCAGCCACACTTATTTGAACTTGAAATTCAGTGTGTTCTAAATTTGGGCAAGACTTCAGGGGTTTGGGTGTGCATGGCAAGGTGAGGGGGGTTGCCTGTTACAGCTGAATCATTTAAAGCATTAAGTCTTCAGCACTGGAAAATAAGATCTAAAAGCTCTACACAGATTTTGATCATTTCCTCATTTTTTAACTGAGCAGCAAAACCAGGAAAACGCTGAAACAGTTGGACCAAAACGCTTCCAACTCATTTAAGATACATATTATTATGCTTTTTCAAAGTATGGTTGTACATAAGATAAAATCAGTTCCCTAGAGATTAACACAAAGAATCCTGACATGTTCTCATAAATACCATGCAATTTCCTTATGAAGTCAGGAAGGGAAAATGCATTTTCTGTCACCAYGCTGTTAATTTGGAGGAGCTGTGGGAAAAAAAGAGGACTAGAAAAATGGTTTGACTTTTGTTCCTCTCCAAGTGAATGGCTGTTGATAAAAGGCAATAGTAGCTGCTAGATCACGTGCCCACATGCCATTCAATAGCAGAAGTGACTATGAATTGTAAAGAAGGTTATTCTCATATCTGAAAAGGTATGTAGGTGAGGAAATTGCATTGCAATAGCCAAATCCAAAATATATTTGTTTAAATGATGCTAAGGTTTTTTTAAGACTGAATTCCTTACATTACCACATAGAATAAATAGTAACTTCCTATCTGAACAAATCAAAAATAGCAACAAATACTTTTAACTCAACAGACCTAACAGAGAAGGAAATTGTGGAAAAAGACAATTAAAGCATCATTTACAGATAAGAATTTGTGAATGTAAAGCCAAAAGTCCAGGCCGAACAGATCTTCCTCTCATGAAGTACAGAAAAATCTTTGTTTTTCTCAGCTTAGCACAAACACACRCTTCATCTTTGCATTCTATATAGAAAGGCATGGACATAAAGCTGATGATCCCAGCATCAGCATCACCCATAACAACAACAGCAAACATAATTCCCAGGAATTTTGTTTGGCCTTAAGCACCCAGAAAGCCATGAGACCAGCAAGCCTGAAATGCCAAGAGAAGGGACAGGAAAGGACACGGGAGAGAAGCGAGGCCACAGCTACTGACTCTGAGATGAGGCACGTTACAGGTCAGTGCTAGCAAGGGGCTCACTTCTGCATTCCAACTTCATCCCAGATGTACTCAGAAAACTGCATGTTCCCAAGCTGGTGAACAGTATCAGCGAGAGGAATGACACAGCAGCAGAGTGCTATTCACGTGGCAAATGTTTTGTTTCCGCCTACAAACACCACATTTATCAATCTGCCGGGGGCTTCAGCAGAAATGCCTGAATACAGGCTTGATCCAAGGCACAATGAAAGCAGAAGAGCAACGGCAGAGAGTCAGAATTAGGAGAGGAAACACCGATATTCTCAACAGTGACAGTTCTGTGACAGCGCAGAGAAACCAGCACAGACTTGCAAGGTTATGCACCCTTTTCCTTTGGCTAACTCTCAGGCTAGTTTTCAAGATGGATTAAAAAAAACTACATGCCATTAAGACCAACACTAAAGAAGAGACAAGTTTTGTTGCATCCTCAAGCATCAAGCTTTTCTTTTTTTCTCAAGGCACACTCAAATGAATTGCAGCTCAATTTTTGCACRTATGAAAAATAGCCACTACACAAAGAAACCCATGCTCGTTATGCTACCCATCCTCTTCCTCCACTCCCCTTTCTTTAAAAGCTCCAGGACTCTGCAGCAAGTCAAGAAAATGCAACACAAACAGCTAAACAGCAGCTAAGACACAGGAAAAGCACTCATCTATTTCCGTACTCATTGACTCATGCAGTAAATTTGTGACTATTATTCAATTAGTTGTAATACTACAGTATCCCTAATACGTAGGGTGGTACCAATAATTCTCAAAGAAAAAAACACCAAATAAAGCATGACGACAACAGCCAACTTCAATAGCCAATTCTGAATTTCTTTCCCATCTAGATGGCTATTTACTTAATTGTCTGCCAAACAAAATAAAGGAAATGAACATTGTTCTATTTCAAGGGCCTTGTAAGGTCTTTAAAGTAATTGTGTAATAACTTTCCATGTGTTAACAACTTGCGGTCTGCAATACAGACAGAAGGCCAGTCATGTACATTTGACAGGAAGTGATAGTACTTCTTTGTGTTTAGCATGTTTAGAAAATAAAAGATTGACTACAGAAGCATGTAATCCATACACAGACGCACAGAATATATTTTGGACTACACAAATGCCAAATTTACCTTATGTTCCATCCAAAATTATTTTATACTTAATCAACACTTGTCTGTTACCCTGTTTACAGCATAACAGCTCAAATAGGCTTTTTTTCACATCACTATCAGTACTTAGATACTATCTTAAATAAATCACATACCACATTAGTAAATATAAACATAAATGACTAATTATATTAAGATATACATATATAGTGTGTATATAAATATATAAAAAATGTAGTATACTATGACAACTAATAGCACATAATGCCCAACTTCAGTTATATAAACAAGACTCATAATTGCGAGTAGTTGAAATGTCTCCACTGCTTTCCTGAAGTAAAACCTGCAAGCTGAGTTCAATAAACAYTGAAAAATTACATAAAGTATCTTCTCAAACTAGGTGTTATTACTTACTTTGGCATTTTCTTCTGTGTTTAGTTTATAACCTTTTAACAAAACAATCTTGAAAGGGTTGCAAATATCCCATACGCTCTGAGAAGTGAAACAAAAGAAAGTTTTCTCTTAATCCATTTAACATACTGAGATCTATTTTACAAGCTAAACATCTTAGCAGAAAAAATCATCAGCACAAGCTAAATAAAAGCATGATTATTTAAAAAATGAGTAAGAGCTCTTAAAAAGGTTAACTACTAAAACACAGTAAGTGTGCTAAATGGAAATGGATTAGGAAAAAATAAACATCTGAAAATACTGAGATAAAGTAAGAAAATCCACTGAGTAATATCTGCTGCCGGTTAGAACTAACTCCAAATATATTATTCATTCTGAATCTAATGTCCACCATTTAAAACCAAAATTATTTCATAGATCCAAGCCTGTCACAAAGGAAACAGCCTATTCAAAGAGCAGTTCGATGGATACAGTGCCAGGATTCACCATCCTCCTATTTCTCTCTTGAGCCTCCCAGCCAGCAGAGACACAGGAGCTCGCTGGAGTCCACGCTGGCCAACAGAAGCAGCAGCAGCAGTCCAGGCATGGCTGGTTTATATTCAACGAGTTGCTGCTCCCTCTGGGCGTTAAATATTCTCCAGATCAACTTACAGTTGTTGCTCTTGTTTTTTTTGGTGGCAGAGGAAGAGGAAGGTTGGATGATTTTCGGTTTGCAGCAGCTTCTATCGCAATCATCTCCTGCTCGCACATTTTCTTTATGGTGCAACACTCGACCAGGGTCAGCTGAGGAAGAGTCCTRTTCATCACACAGTTGCGGATGTACTAAAAACATAGGAAAAAATAGTTCTTGTCAACTAACTGAATATTCCTACAGCAAAGAATCAATCMTATATTATAAATGTACAAAGTAATCGGCATATGTGCTATATGYTATGACTGAACACCCAGCAAAGCAGTCAGCAGATGGGAGCAGGATGCACATGACTGCTCAGCAGGGTCACTGCCCAGTGGCCYGTGGAGCAAGAAGAAACTGTGGCCAAAGCACCAGAGAGCAACCGTGACACTGAGCAACGCTCCAGAGGCTTTTATGTACCTGAAACTGAATTAATGGGTGGTCTCCAAAAACGTATTCTAGCCTTCCACTAACTTGCAACACGTAATCAGCAGGATCAACTTCCTCGTCTTCTTTTCCGTGGATAGTCAAACGTTTTCGGATTGCCAGCTCATTCAGCTTGATGGGATTCATGTTAGGAGACACCTGAAAACTAAATACATCCTAAGAAAACAAACAGGAACAATAAATATCCATATTCTGAATCAGACATAAACAGCTGAAATTAGAGCATGCACAACAAATAAAATATTCACGTTTTCCACAGCATCTACATAAACTACAAGTTAAATAATTCAGATTATTTTGAAAACTGTTTGTCATGTATTTAAGTTTCGAAAGCACAGGATTTTCTACAAAATACTTCACCACCACACAGTAATGCAAACTGAAGCTAGTATTACATGTATTGATTACTTTTTACTTTCTGCTGCTACTAAATCACCCTCTTTCTACACACAAGACTAACAAGAGGATAAATGAAAGCTTAGGAAGCAAAGCAGGAGAAATGGCTAATGTGATAGTGGCACTATCTTATTTGGAGAACTGTAGAGAAAAGGGGTAGCAACCAGTACTGTTAGCATAGCGAGTGCACTATTTTTACAAGAAAGATTTTGGCCAGATCTTTTCTTAGAAGTTTTTTTTTTTTTTTTTTTTTTTTTTTTTTTTTTTTTACATATTTCCATAGTTGCTTTTATTTTGATTCTGTTCTGAAAAGATAAACTTAAGTTAGTGCTTTTTCCCTGTCTTTAATACTAAAAGTTTAAATTCATTCGAAATTCCCAAATTCAAAAGATAGGGGAGACTATCTCCCCTGATCTTCCACATTATGTTCCACACACAATCATTTTTAATTTCAACTTCACCCCGCTGAACACACAGGAACCCTAAGAGCCATTATTTCAAAATGAAAAGTCTGCCCTTGCTTACGTTTTTTTTTTCCCCCTGTGCTTTATTTACATAAAAGCTTATTGGCCAGCAGCCAAGCAGCCCAAATGGAAAAGCACCACCATAAATTCAGGCCAAATGAATCCCGTATTTCCTCAGTTTCCGAAGTGCACAGCCCGTAACCGCTTCCTCCTTGCGAATCGCTGCCAGGCCCTGCAGGGTTTTCTTTTCCCACMACTTGGGCACGGAGCAGGGTGGCAGTGACACCCACCCGTCCCAGAAAGGCGGCCTCTGACCGACACTTCTCGCCCTCCTTCGGGGCCTCCGGAGCTCATCCCAGCACTGGGAGCAGGTCTCTCCGTGCTCCCTGGGGCAGCCTGGCAGGGTCACCTGCATTCCGGACAACAAGTGTTTGTCTCCTGCTCGAGGGACACAACAGGCCCCCAACTCTTCTCATTTCCTTCTGCTGCTACRATATTTATTACTAAGTGCAGTAGCAAAGTCTGGAGCCAACTTCTCRCATTAAAGCAGCTCAGATTTGAACTGATCAAGATTTGAAGGGCTAAGAGAGCAGAAGCAGCTGAAGCTTTCAGGTGTCTAAGCTGTTAAGGGAGCAGGCAAACACATTCTGCACCAGCAAGAGCTCTTCCAACCAAGCACGCATGCAGCCTCAGCTAGCCCCGCYATCAAGCTCAATATTCACCCCTTCATTTGGCATTTCCAGTGTGAGAGATACTTTCATTACCTCAGATTTTTTTAGTTACTAAAGACACAATCAGTAATCAGTGAATCAGCTATCAGTAATACTCTAGCTTGGTAAATAAAATTGGTCGAATCATCAATATCTCAACAACTGGGTCAAAACACATACTAAACATAGCCAGATACCTTACATGCTYGTGAGAGTCCCAGTATTCCCATTTCGAACCCTTGCTGTTACTAGAAAGGACTCAAGTGTAAACAGGGGCACGAGGAATGCTGGACTCGAGCAGAACCACAGCAACTCCATTTTCAGAAAAATAAAATAAAACTGTTATTCTAGGTGGAAATTGAAGTTGCCTTTTTCCTTTAAAAATAAGCTATGGGGTTTGTTTGCTCAACTACTAGATCCAAAAGGGCAATTCTAAGTTTCTGCTAGTATTTTGTTTATCTATATGGAGTTGAGGGAGTGGTAATTTTTTTTATAAACGTATTTCTCAACTTAAATATTATCAGATTAACCCCAGGGACATTCAGCAATGCATTACACACAAGACCTATGTTGAATACACTGCCTCCTGATCTCTAGCAAAGTAATGCAGCAAAAATTGGCCTAAATTCTAGCAAATTTGAATTACATTTTACACTTAAGAAATAATTTAGAAAATTATACAGTTAAGATAAAATACGTAAAATAGAACTTTTTTTACTCCAGTTACATTGCTCTTGCTGCATTCCCATTRGTACAAGACATGTATACAAACTATATGGTTACTCTCACATTAGATACTGCATTAYATACTGGATTAGCACCGCTCTTCATCAGTTCATCTAATTTTAATTTAGAAATTCAGTTCACTACTGTCAACTCCTCTTCCTCACTTCATTTTACACGTCAAGCACTCTGATAAAAGAGCTTGCATTTTAAAAGCACCTATCAAAAGATTAATGCTCTATTACATTTAGATCTTTATCCCTCACATGCTAACTCACATTGGAACTAAAAACAACCAGTTAAAAATCAGGAATAATCCTTCCTACCTGGCAGTTATCAAAATGAATGGCAACGACGAGATTCCCGCTGTAGAGTTTATCTTGGAAGCTCTCCTGGATCACAGGCTCCTGCTCTGGTGGGTACGTGTGCTTCAACCAGTCCATCCAGGAGAGACCCACAAGCGACTGGATCTTCTCCTCACTGACTCGTCGCATTTTAGCTCGGAAGTCGTTCACTTCAGGGTCTTGTAAGGCATCRAATTCATGGAGACCTAAGGAAATACAGTGAAGAAGAACAACTGCATAAATATATTCCCACTGCAGTCAAACCTTTGTTTTCTTGAAGATGCTCAAGCCATTTTCTTCAAGGATCATCCCCATCTAAAATGGGAGGTCACAGGTGAGCTGGGTTCTACTTTCCCTTGGGCATCAGTGGACTTTTACATTTTTGCCATACAATTTGGGATTAGAGTTTAGCTTGCACAACAAAAACCAATGTATCTCTTAGGAAAAATGAAATGGAAAAGCCAACCTCAAGCTGATTTCAAGTGAAATGGAACAGTTAAGTCTTCCCCTAAGACAACAAACCCATGTATAAAGCACGTTTGGGATGAAGGGTTTACAAGCCATCTAGGCTGGGATGCATCTTCCCCACTGCCAAGGTACAGAACAGGGACTAAATGAGGCAGGCCCCTGCACATCCCTCACTAGCAAAATAATTATCCAAGAGGAGGAATCTCTTGGAAGCTGGCAGGGCCCTAGGTGTGAATGGTTAAAGCGGCCACCAGCTTCCATTGTCAGCTCTCCCAAACAGGCAGCCAGGGCCCAGCTGAAGGCTAAACAAACGCCGCAGTCTGCACAGGGGCTCACAATGGGCCATTGTTTCGGAGCAAGGGGTAATGACCTCAGAGCACCCGGGCAGCCCTCACTGTGGAAGGAGGCCGAGATTTTATGGCTGAAATGTCTGAAATAGCAGCAAGAGCAGCCACTGTGAAACCTTTAAAAATAGCTCCTCATTGTTTGCTGGAAATCGCTGCCACAATTGAAAACAAAAACATCAACTCGGAAGCCATGTCTACCAAATCCAGACTAATTCTAGTTTCTTCTGACTGAGTTTGCTTCTGAAGATGAAACTTTTCAAGCTATTATGCCTTTACTTTGCAATAAAAAAATCCTACCATCTAATAAGATAAAATTTGCCCTCAAATTGCAGCATCAATGCAATAACATAAGATAAAATTGAGTAACCATTCCTTTTAAAATCCTTCTTATTTTGATCATGCATTAACCCCCAAAAGAATTTCATTTTGCCATCCCAACTGTTTGGGAAGGGAAAAAGTACAAAATAATTATAATAATCTTAAAATTGGTCCACTGTTTTAGAAGTGTATTTTCCAAGGAACTTTTCCACCTTACATTGCAGAGAAGCTCTGAACTGACATTTCATCTGCAGTCAGATATACACACATTATTATTATTATTATTATTTATTTTTGCTTGTAATGCTTCTACCAAATATGTTTCTCTGTTCAATTGTTTGGATCTCTTCTTTTCAGAATTACCTTCCATCAACTTTCAAATGCTTCACCTTGATGCAATAAATAGTAATTAAATTCTTCKCAATTACATCAGGCTTGCTTTAGAAAGGGAAGTTCTAGAATACAGGATCAGAAACACTTCCTTTAATGTTTTTCTACTCTTATCTGCTCAATTAAGACCCTAAAGCAAGAAAACAAGTCCTCCCCCCTTTCTCAAAAAATGGAAGTAACTGTAATTACCTTTGCCTATAAGGACACCTATTTTGGAATCCAACTTTTCTCCCGGATCACAGTTCCTTGTCACTAGTTTAAGGACAGGAAGAAAGGGTCGAACATCACAAAGCCTCCGAGTTTCATCTTCTAATTCTTCGTGGACAGCAGTCTGATTCACACACGAGAACATGTAGGAGTCGATCTCCATAAGGAGGTGGAAGAGCGGGTACGCGTGCGCCTGCTTCCATAACAGCTGCAAAACACAGACACAGGCCCCTTACCCCAAGGAAGGCAACAGCAAATTCCCTTTATGTCCCCCCAAGAATTTAAGAATCAAATGGCTTAAATATAAMATGTTTCCTAAATTCTCCATCCAGCCCCACAGTTTGGTTTCCTATCCCCCCACAGTTGGTTTCCTGTCAAAACCAACCGCTCTTAAGACGCTGGCACCCTATTTTTATTCTTATGTACGACCTAAATCTCAGTCAGGGTGAGCAATTTAAATATAAATCCTCTACAGAAAGCCTCCAGCAGTTGAATAACAGAACTGAAAGATGAGTATCCTGYTTAACTCATCGGTAGTAGTATGTCTCATCAGTAAAGATTACTACTTAATACACAGAATAGTTGCACTTAAACAGCATGTTAAACAAAACATCCCACACACCTGTTGCAAATAACTAAGAAGTGTGAGTTCTTACTGGAATGAATAAAACACATCTTTATTTTTGTAAAAAGCTCATTTTAACATTCTTTTTCCCTTAGAAAATTCAAATTACAGTTCTGCAGGTCCCACATGCCCAATTTACCTGCAATTAGTTTCAAAGAGTTTTATGTCAAATCAGAATAAGGCACAAATTTCCAGGTAGTATTTTATTTTTGTAAATGCTACAGTCATACACTTAAAATGACTCTAATATTAAGACAGCTAACCCACATACCTAAAAACCTGAAACCCTTAGAATCSCTCTTCATTCTGAGAACCACCAACACAGGTGCACACCCATACACACAAATTCTAGACTATAAATGAAAACGTGTGCAGCCCCTGCACATACATGTAGGCTCGTGGTCAGTACAACTAAGATTGAGCCCCTCTTTCCAATTTGTTCTTTTTGTTGTTGTTGTCATGTAAAGACAAATAAATCCCCAAAGGGCAGTCTTCTTCATCCCTGCAATACTGGCAACAAGCAGCTCGCTTAAGAGGAAGATTACAACTCACTCTGGAATAAAAAATTCCCCTGTTTGGAAATAACCTTTTACTAACACACTCATGACACGCTCCCAGCAGGAATTATTTGAACTATTTGAGTACACGAAACTTCCTGAGTACACGAAACTCGCTGGTTGGATCACTGCAATTAGAGGTACTCTCATGTCTTCTACCAGATAAGTGGCTCACCTCAGGAAAAAAGTATTTTAGCACCTACAAAAATTTCATCTCAACAATAATTTAAAACTAGTGATACAAAGAAAAATTCCCCTATAAATGGACTGCAGTGAGAAATGCTGTACTTAGTTGTTTTGCAAGCACTGCCATGCAATAACCTAGCACCCTGGTTTTAAGTCAGTAGCTCAAGGCACAGATGAAGCTGCTGCTTCCATGTCCTCCGATGGTCATTACCTGATGACAGCAGATTGTCACCAACTACTTCCTTAGGCCCCAAAAGAAAGGGCAAAACCACTGTGTTAGATCTCCTGTAGCTCAGTACATGCTGCACAAAATAGAGGTTTCTCTTCCTTCCACCTCACCTGCATTTTCAGTTTTGCACTGTGCTCTCCCCTATGGCTGTCACCAGCTTGCAATGCCACTATCAGCCACTAACATGYAATTAATATCTCCTTTAAACAAGCAATTAGCTGCTGTGGAGCAATATGATCCTATTTTACAGCTTCTAGCCTGGAGCTGGAATGAATTTCAACTTTCAAGATGTGCRAGATGCACATAAAGGAAATTATCTTTACTACAAAACACCAGTGCTAATCACTTTTCCTCAGAAAGAGAGATTCTAAACTTGCTTTCAAAAAGGCAGGCTTCATAATACAAAGGGATGAAGGCTGAAAAACCTTCACATTGAAATACACATGCTAAATAAAATGAAATTAAAAATCTGTCATGATTTCCTTGTACATTCCCCTTCCTTCACTTCCCTTAGTGAAGGGAAACTCTTCTTTAGGGATGGCTTTTGAGGCTGCCGAACCTCAAGGCTTTGAGGAAAATGGATTTGGAAGGAATTCTTCAAACAGTTTCTTGACATTTTGGCTCCTGGTTTCAGTTTTTAAGCAACACAACTCATATCAAACCTGGGCTGAGCTGTACTGCAAGATGACCAAGTGCTGCCAGGGCTCATCTTAAGAAAAGAAAATCCTTCAAAATAGTCACTTCTGTTTAGTTTTCAGTCATGTTTTATACTTTTTAGTTAGGGTCCATTAATGTTTTTAAGCCTAGAGTCTCATGAATTAACCCCCTGAACTTCTTTTTCCCCTAAAATTATATTTCCTAGTCCTTGTAGCTGCAGTCATACGAGTCTTGACCTTCCTATGCTCAATCACTATGTTTAGCAAGYCCAGAGGCTGAATTTTCATACAGAATCTCACATCAAAGTGACGAAAGTCACTTAAAACTCTTCAGAAAAACAGCTGCAAAAGGATTTTTTTTTTCTTAAAGGAAACACTTTCGGCTCTTACAGAAGTGACAGTGCTTTTGGGGCACACTGTAAGTGACCAATCAACATAAGCCTGTGAGAATTTAGCAGGCATGCAATAAATAAATCATATTCTTAAGCTTGAGGCATTTTTTTTTCTTTGCACATTAGACATGATTAACAAGGCTTTTTGCATTTACTTCATCACTTCATTACTGAATGACATACCTAGTAACAAGCTTTATCCTCTCTGAATCTCGAAAGAAGTTGGATATAAAGATGTTAGCTTGGAGATTTACAGTAAAATCCGACATACAGGCAGYCAGATACTTCTTAAATCATGTAAGAAGAATAAAAATTCCTTGGACTAAGGACTAAATTTAAGCTTCTCAGCTGCAAGGACCTACACATGCTACGCATTACTACAGGCCTAAAACCTCTCAACTGAAATTTGTACTCAAGAAGGAATAACAAGGATTTATATGTCTAAATTAAAACAGACAGGAAAGGAACAACGAAGAGTCTGCAACTCATTCTGATGAAAGAGAGAAAGATGAGACTTTCTCATGAATGGTACCTTTAATGTAAAAAAAGTGAGGATGAATACAAGGATGACAATACAGATTTTCTGCTAGAAAAAAGCAAAACGGGACCAGACTGAAAAAGCAAGGCATATCTGATTATTAAAAGCCAAGTGACTGATTTTATCACCGGCTTCATACTACCTACCTTCCATATCTCCTAACAAAAGGATGTTAGTTTTGGGAGAGCCTTTCTTATGGTCACTGACTGGGGCCTCTGAGAAGCTGCAGCCATGTAGAGGCTTTCAAAAGTTACAAATTTAGCAGACTTTCTTTTACCCCTTTAAGTATTTTTACAGCTAACGAGCTATCCCACACACTGTTCAGAAAGGAAGGATGGGCTCCTGCTAGCAATGCCAGGAAGTCTCTTTGGGATCCCAGCTAAGTTTCATACATCAGCCACTGACCCTCATAATTCAGAGGCAAATCATTTTAGAACCGAAAACTGTGAAAATACATGTAAAATGCAGAAAGTCTTYCTTAAAATACACCAGAGGGTTATTTAAAAGGGTAATAAACCACTGATTTAGCCGGCGCCCTTCTGCTGTGACAGGTTTTCAGAACTGGAATATACACAAATTAACCCTTCAGTCTTGACTGGAAGCTTTAAAAGCTCCCTGTTTAGCCTGAGGAGTTTTATTTCCCTTATCATCACTGCAAAAGCAGCTTAACAAATTCAGAGCAGAATTTTATGTGCAGTTCAGCCCAGAGTTACAGCACGGAGTATGAAGAACAGCGTTAATGGCAGCTCTTGGTGAATTTTTTTGAATGGGGGCCTACAGAATGCTGAATATCCTTTACTGTTATTGTAGGTTATCCTCTAACTGGGTATCCAAAATACTCCAAAACCAAGAACAGATCCGACCCACTGTTCTAATTTAAAGAACAAAATATCTTAGAACTTTAGAAGTCAGATTTTATTAATTCCATCCTTTTATAATTATGCAAGATATTGCCTGGACAAGCTATTTGAAAAGCTGTCTTTCAAAATACAAAATCCACAATATCACATCGCTTTAAAATTAAAGACATTTTAAATAAAGAAGAAGAGCTCTTCTTTTCAACGCAGGAAGATTAAAGAAAACTGTTTTGAGAATAAATAGACAAACGTTTTTCATACTTCATTACTGAAGAACAAAACAAAAACCCCCAAGTACCTAGCACTGGTTTTAAAGTGGTGCCCAAATAATTGATACGCACACAAACTTTTAAAAGTGGTAAAGATAGTTCTTGGAATACATATCTTTGCTGTCTATCAGAAGCAGCAGAAACTAAATATTTAACTTTCATATTTAAAATCAATTTGGACACTGTATCTCCTGTTTCATATTCATCAAAAACATTAAATACACATGTAGAATATATTATTGATGCATTAAGAGAAAAGGTATATTATACAGCTGAAGTGCAACTCTCAACAAGAAGCAATTCTTCTTAACCTCACTATGCCCCCAGATACACCAACACCTAATGTTACACACCCATCTTTAATTATTTCCATACATCTACCCAAATTTATTACCTGCTTTTCTGAAAGGCATATAAAAATCAGCAACAGAAATCAATCTGATGATACCTTAACTTGTAATTGAATTGTCCATGTGTTCTTACCTGCTTAATRTGAGATATGGTGGCATCTCGAGGGACATCGAGGTTGATGTAGATCCCAGTGGGCAACAGGAAGTCCACAGATATGGAGCCATCGGCCCCAATCTGYGAATCCACCGCCCAGATGTCAAGGCTGTCCGTCACGGCAGGAGGCATTATGGAATCTCCACAATATCATAGCCACATGGCCTAAGGGAAGAAAATAAAATCAAAATTCAGTATATTTAACCTTCTGTAATTAAACACACATTTGCCAAGTCTTTGGAAAGTTCACGTAAGCTGCTTGTGCAGCTCAACTCGCAGGTCTGRGGCCTCAAATGTCAGTATTGCCAATAGGTATGTAAAGATTCAGGTATTACTTCTATATAGCATAGTAATAGCACTTGCCTGAGCAAAGTACCTCTGTTTAGGTGTATATATGATTAAGAAAAATCAACAAACAGCTGAGGCAACCCAATATATCAGCCTAGTCATTTCTGGTTCTAATAATCGTCAGAAACTTCTATAGGAACCATTAAAACTTCCAGATGAACACRAAACAATCAAAACAATTTGGGAGAAGACAGAGCATCTGCTATGAATTCCATGAAGTTAAACATATATGCAACACATCAACAAATGAAGGTTTTCAAAGCAATTTGGAATTCTTTTCATAGAGCACCACAGTTGTGCGCACAAATCCAGCAGACCAACAACAGCATTTTCACAAGAGGGAATCATTTCCCTTCCTCTAGAGCTTCTTCCTTTCCTCTTTTTTAAAATAAGGTAAAATAGTTTTGTTTAGAAAAACCCACACCAGCTACTATATCCAAACACGGTGATATTCTGGAGGTAATGCTTCCTTTATGAAAAGCTAAATTACTTCATACTGCAATTTCACATATATTGTACTCAATTTAAAACTAATTAAAACGGGAAGACTTTTAAATCAAATCATCCACTACCATATGAATCATCATCATCATCTTTACAGACAACAGGGACACAACGGTGGTTCCTTGGCAAAGTTTCTTCTGCAATCTTCAGCCTGATGCTCAGAACTTGCATTGAAAAAAAATTAAATAAATCCATAAAGTTAGGGCAAAGCTGAGCATGCCTACAATGAACATATGCCTGCAGCACAAACCAACTATGTTTTTTTTTACCCTCAAGCAAACTATTAATATTTTGTAAACAGTAAAATAAAGTCTGTTGAGGGGCAACTAGTTTACTAGAGGGGCTTTATTGAAGAAATAGTACCATTTAWATCATCATTTTAAAATATCCTGAATTCTCAGAGCTGCTCTTGGCCACCACAGCTGTGCTGGTAGCAGCCTGCTGGGTAAAGGCTGCCTTCGATGGGCCAAGTCATTGGGAAGCCTTTCCCTTCAGCCTTCSAGAAGCTGCAAGCACCTGGACACCACTGCTGACAACCTGGTATCACACCRAACATGTGGCTCTTTGCATTAGTACTGTGCTTGTATAGCTAAAAGTAACAACAATTGATCATAAATACAAAAAAATGTAACTTTCAGAACACATAGGCAATGTAATAAAAATCATTTTTCTTTATTACATAGAGCTAAAACAAGTTAGGAGCTCTCCTTACCACTATCAAATAATACCTTGTTTTCACTGGCTTCTGATTTACAATAAATCCACTCTGTTGCATCAGGCTAAACCAAAAGAAGTAGCTTTTTTTTTTCCTTTGGGTGGGAGAGATCAGGTAGGACAGAGCTGGTGACAAGAACAAGTCAGGAAAATATTTAATTTTGATTCACAGATCTTTACAATACTTTCTCTTCACTCATCAATGGGTGTGGAAAGCTTAGCACAGACACTAGTATCTTAATTTCTGCTGTAAACAAACCCTAATCTCTGTCCTATAACAGAGTACACTGTCAACATAACGTGACATCTACGTGGAAAATCTTTAAGAAAACAAGCAGTTACACATCCCCAACCACCGTATCTTTCCTAACATATTTAAATGTGGTATCATTTACTTTTTCTCATTCAACTACTTCCACCCATGCTATTGTGGCTGCAGTTTTGTTGCAGCTGACAACAGCAGCTACAGAAGAGTCACTTGACCCAACAAAAGACCCAACAAAAGCTTTGCCAGGCTTGCTGGGCGCTGCCGCCAACCCAAGTGCTCGGGCCACTCTGGTTTAATTAGTGGCAGTAGCAAGGAGGGTACAATTAATTGTTCCATGTGGTCATTCCAGAAACATTCACTATAATTTCTCTTATTTTCCTGCTCTTTTGGAGGTTTTTCTGTAATGTTTGCAATTCCTGAAGCCACTTGAGTGCTTTAGTGAGTTTAAGTTGTTAATATGAAGCTGCATAACTTACAAGGTAGAAAACACAAAACAGAGCTAAAGTTGTTATTACAAATTCATTTCCAACTGCTCACTTCCATAGCAGCCATCAGAAACCCCTCAACCCATCTGCCTCTCCAGCAAGCACAGGAAGATAGGCCAGTCTGAGGGTGCTGGGAAGCAACCCTCACCTTCAGGTACTTCATACCCCCTTCCACAGCGAAACGGTTGTTTCTCCTGTTGTTCTTTTGTTCCTTTTTTGTAAGCGCTGTGTCTAGTCATGACCGCGGTTTCCAGSAGCAGCAGCAACGTCACCGGGGTCAAGAGAGAGCAAGTATTTATACCGCGAGCACGAGGCGGCTCCCAGTGACTCAGGGGCCGGCCCGGGACACGTGCGGCGGCACCAGCGGCTCCGCGCGGCCACCGGCAGCACCAGCCACGCGGAACAACTTCCAGCTCCAGGGAAAAGCCACCACCACCCAAATCACAATCAAAAGCTATTTCGGGCTGTCYACCTCAGGACTACTCGTGGGGACTGTCATTGTGAAAACAGCTTGGCATACAGAAGGGGGAAGTCATTAAGAGAGTGCTTCACCTGGGCAATTCAAGGATCTAATCAATTATTATTTTACAGTGACACTGATCAATCTTCAGTACTCTATATTACAARTATGTCATTTGATAGCACAAGAAATCTCCTATAAAGGCTCTTTGCTCTGATCTTTCAGCTATGTACTTCGGTTTKGGGGTTTTTTTCAAATATACACCCCACCCCCCTACACACACACACACACATATATATAGCCCCAAAGAGCTCAATTTGTTTTTCATATGATGCCAGACCTGAAATGGGTTCCCGAGATACACAGAAAGAAATGAAAATCRGACTGCTAGAACAAGCCCAGGAACAAGGCAATGTAACTTCCATCTTTGCCCTTTTCCATCCACGGAATGACGCACCTTGCACACGTAACGAGCACTCAGACAGCAGCGGCACAAGGAGCGCTCCAGGTTTTCCCCGGCTGCACGGTTATCCTCCCCGCAGGGCCGCGCTGGGGTGCTCTGAGGCACCCCAAGGCCCGCCATGCGACACGGCGACACGGGGGGAAGGCTCCGGCCTCYGCCTCGCCTCTTCAGACGTCTCCCTCACAGCCCAGCCAGCGCACACCAAGCCCCTTCCCCACACACAGCCACAGCTTATTATTCAAGCACCAACACCACCATTTCCCGCCAGGCTATTGACCTGAACCCAGTCAAGGGTCTAACGAATGCCTGAACGTGCCAAGGGGAAGGAACGGAGGCCGGGATCTTCTCCCCTCCTTGGCGGAGGCCTCCAGACCCCAGGCAGGCACCGCCTCAAGGTGCAAGTTCACAGCTGGCTGGGCTCATGTCAGGTCACGCTGCCCTTCCTGCTCAAGATGCTCTTGGGGCCACGTCAGCAGTTTGGCAGCCGCTCTGTCAGCAGGATGGCACGGCGCACACAGCTCACGTTCGGGCTTTTTTTCCCTTTGCCCCCAGGCAAAGCAGCTCTCTAAGCAGGCACAGACCCAGCACGGGTCCTAAGCAGGGACCTTGCAGAGACCCAGCTGGCAGGAACAGGGCTAGACCAGCCCTCCTGAGGAATTAGGCTGCACTTGCAAGCAGGTGCTTCCAGTTGCGAGACCCCACAGCCCAACAACAACATGAAATGCCTACAGTGATTCACAGCCATTGAACTGCTGGGTAAAGCCAGAGGGAGGGAATCGAGGGAAACAGACCTTATGAAGAGCAGGTGAACAGCAGGAGCAGGAATTATTTATTTCGGAGTAGAGGGGGCTCAGGGAAGACCTTATCACAACAGCAACCCAAAAGAATGTTGTAGAGAGGCAGGGAGTCAATCTCCAGAATAGCTTCCAACAGGACAAGAGGAAATGGCCTCAAGATGCTCCAAGGAGGTTCAGGTTAGGTATTAGGATAAGTTTCTACACACAAAGAAGTGTGAAGCACTGAACAGGCTGCCCAGGGAAGTGGTGCAGTCACCATCCCTGGTGTTGAAGAAACRCTGTGTATGTTTCCTCATGTGCACCTGAGGAGCTTAGGGATGTGGCTGGCCAGTCCTGGTGGCAATGGGTGTGCGGTTGGACTTGATGATCTTCAATGTCTTTTCCAACCATAATGATTCTACAAAGAGACCCATATAGCAAGTTGAAGATCACCGATTTCTTCTGCAAATACTCTCTGCCCTTGTCAATTTAGCAACGGACCAAACTGCCCCATCACTGAAGCAACATAAGCTAATTTAACCTTCCTCAATGCAGTACATTTCTGCACTATGTAAGGATGTCCTSTGTAAAATCAGATGGAAAGTCCCAGAACTGAACACTGCCATCCCTCTGCACTGCAAAACACCGGACAAAAAGCACGTGTGCCTGGGCTATATGTATAATATAGGCACAAAACCTTTGTACATACAGTACACATACCAGAAGGAGTCCAGATCTCAAGGCATTAACAATATTTGCCTTACGCAGACATGAATGAATTCTGAAGCTAAAATACACATTGTAATCCATGTTTAACTCCAATAAAGCAGAAAACAATATATTACCGTGTACTGAAAAGAAAATMTAACTACTTATTTACAATGAAGAAATTTAGAACTGTCTCAAGTTCCCAACAGGAGGCTAACACTAAACTAAAAGGAGTTCAATGGTTTTATACCCTTTTATATTGCTTCCCCTCTTTCTGTCATCGCCTCTTAATTTCTTTGGTCAACTTTACCTCTTAAATTTAAGGCAGAAAAAAACACAACTGTACATTTTAAGGGATTTGGAAAGCTCCTGGCATTGATTCAGAACAACTGTGTTAAAATGTCAACATCATTTACTTGCCTTCCGTGCAGAAAAAAAT